GAACAAGACAAGATAGAACTTTTTGGCCTTAATTCTAAGTAGTATGTGTGGAGAAAACCAGGCACTGCTCATCACTTGTCCAACACAGTCCTCACAGTGAAGCATGGTGTGGGCATGTTTTCAGCTGCAGGGACAGGACGATAGGTTGCAGTTGAGGCAACGATAAATGCAGCCACATACAGGGATATCCTGGACAAGAATCTTCTCCAGAGTGCTCAGAACCTCAGACTGGGCTGAAGGTTTACCTTCCAACATGACAATGACCCTAAGCACACAGCTAAAATAATGGAATGGCGTCATGGCAACTCTGTGACTGTTCATGTGCTGACCATGTGATATTTCAGTCTTTCTTTTTTAAATTTCTAAAATTCTGTGTTTTCTTTCAATATGGGATGCTGTGTGTACTTTAATGAGGAAAGAATGCAAAAATTTGCTAATTGATTTTAGCAAATGCCTGCAATATAACAGTGAAAAATTGATGGGGGTCTGAATACTTTCCGTATAAAATGATAAATGACCTGCACTTGTATAGCGCCTCTCAGAGTAAGGACTCCAAAGCGCTTTACAGTACAGTGTATCATTCATCCATTCACACACGAATGGTGATGGGCTACGATGTAGTCACAGCTGCCCTGGGGCGCACTGACAGAGGCGAGGCTGCCGAGCACTGGCTCCACCGGTCCCTCCGACCACCACCAGCAGGCAATGTGGGTTAAGTGTCTTGCCCAAGGACACAACAGCAGAATTTTCTGTCCGGAGCCGGGGTCGAACCTGCAACCTTCTGATTACTGGACAACCCGTTCAATCTGTTGAGCTACTGCTGCCCCTAACTGTACAGCCACAGACACTGTATACTGTCGTGCTCTACTACAGTCTTGTGGAAGGGTAAAGCAGTGATGTGAGCTTTACCTGCCAGGTGTTACACACTGGCAGCTTAATGCTGCTGAAAGCTGAGCTTTATAAAGGCTAGGACAAGTAGCTTCACTGGTTTGACCTGCTTTTACCCAAATTCCTACTTATTGGGTCATAGTATTACATTAGTGGTGTACATTAAGGCTTCCATAGAAAACCGGTCGACCTGGCCAGACTGGTTGATTTTCCACAAGTGTAAAATCTGTTTGTTTCTTTTCCCCATTATTTTTGGAAGAAACAATTTTTATATGCCTTTAAAGATGGACATCAGTAGATGCTTCACAAGAAAAATAATGATATAAAAATTATTTTAAAATACCATTAACTGAAAAATGAGGACAAAAATGAATAAGAAAAAGATAATACCTGAGAAGGAAAGAATTAGTAGATAGAAGCATGAAAATAAGGCTGAAAGGAGGAATCACAAATGGAATGCCTTGCTGTCCTCTTCCTGTTTTGCAAATGAGTTTAGTTTGGGATAAAAATACGTCCTGTTGATCCCCAGATCAATAGCATCCAGCTAAGCAAGCTTGGTTTACACATAAGGGAACATAATTTGAGTCGATCCGTTTGGCTCAGGCTTGGGTCATATTACAGTGAAATGAGACCATTTGATACAAAAGAGGCATTTATTTCCTTAAGGCGCAAACATTATTAAGGATTTCAAATTTAGATGTAATTGTTTTAGTATTCTGAAAGGCTAAGACGCGAAACCAGAAGTGTTCTCCTGTGCTCTAAAATGTTTCTGTCCATCCATTTTCAACCACTATCCGGAGTCAGGTCATGGGGGCAGCAGCCCAAGCTGAGAAGTCTAGACTTCCCTCTCCCCAGCTACTTGGGCCAGCTCCTCCGGGAGAATCCCAACGCATTCCCTGGCCAGCCGAGATGGATAGTTGCTTAATAAGTTAATAAGTTTCTTAATAAGCAAATGTTTATTGTACAAAACAAAGGCAACAATGAGACAGCTGCACTGCTGAGATCACACTTTCCATGACCAAATCATCCTGCTTTAGATTATTTTTAGTTTTTGTTGCTAGTACCAACTATAAGAAGAAAAAATCATTTCTATAGCACCTCTCAAGATAAAAAATCACGAGGCGCTTCACAAAAACAAAAAAAATGTTAAAATATAAAAAGGCATTTAGAAAATGTTTAAAAATATATTCAAATGAGCAAAAATAGGCAATTGTGATTAAAAATGTTAAGAAAGAGAGTGAACAGGAAAGAGGGAAATCAGTGGATCCTGAGGAAGGTGGAATAGGTGGGGAGAGCAGAATAAAGAGAGGGGTTGAAGAAGGTCATACAAAAGCCAGCTTGAACAAGTGAGTCTTCAGCTGCTTTTTAAAGGAGACCACTGAGTCCACTGATCTCAGGCTCAGGGGGAGAGAGTTCCAGAGTCTGGGGGCCGCAGCAGCAGATGATCTGTCACCTTTGGTCTTTAGCCTGGTGCGCTGCACAACCAGTAGGCTTCGATCACTGGACCTCAGGGACCTGCTGGGGGTGTAGGGACTAAGAAGTTCACCAATGTAAGATGGTGCTTGTCCATGTAAGGCCCTATAGACCAGAACCAGGATCTTGAAATGAACCCTGAAGTTGACTGGCAGCCAGTGAAGCTGGAGGAGAAGCGGGGTGATGTGGGTGTGTTTGGAGGACTTGGTCAGAAGCCGAGCACAGGCGTTCTGAACCACCTGTAGACGGTTCAGGAAGGTTCTGCTCAGACACGTGAAAAGAGTTACAGTAGTCTTAAGTGTGAGGAGATGAAGGTGTGGAGAACAGTCAAGTTCAGAGCGGAACAGAATGGGACTCAGCTTAGCAACGTTCCTGAGATGGAAGAAGGAAGAGCGAACAAGAGAACTGACATGAGAATCCAGGGTGAGAGCTGGGTCAAAGGTCACGCCAAGATTCCTGACAGAAGGTTTGGTGTGGGAAGCAAGCTGACCAAGAGAGTCTCTGGCTTTAGGAACCAGCTTGTCTGGGGCACAGATGAGGATCTCAGTCTTATCTTCATTCAGCTGAAGAAAGCTCCCAGCTGAAGAAACTATAACTGAATGTATTGCTGTCTCTTTTAGAAAGAGCCCAGTCTGACTCTAGTGAAAGAATGTGGGGTGGAGCAGGCTGAGAGGGTGTGTCCTGTCATTGATAAAAAGGTGGCACTACTTCGTTGAGCAGTTCCTGGAACTGTTGGCTTTATCTGCTGATTAGTTCAGAACTAGGCTGAGGCGTTGATAGTAGAGCTGAGGAAAATGATGAAATAATCGATGCATCAGGATGCGGACATAAACGATTCTGCATTCGATTCTGTGGTTTTGTTTTTTGAACGGTGGCACCAGCACAGCATCCATATCTGTCAGTGAGTGTCCTCCACATTTACCAAGTATTGTTCCGCCTTAATGTGGTACTGCAGGGCTGAGCGCTGGAGTTGTAACCTGAGACCGGAACCGAATCAGCCCGTTCGGTTGGATTTGGGCCGTGAATTATGTTAATTGAGCGGGTTGTCATGTGGCGCGCTACGCTCGCTCGCACAGCAACTGCGAGAGAGAGAGAGAGAGAGAGACTGTCTGCTCACACAAGAGAGAGAATCGGAGGACGCTCCTCCAAACCGATGCTCCAAACACGCGTTATTATTTTCATAATTTAATTATTATTTCTCCTCGAAGCGCTCAGTCAGACCGAGTGTTGTGATCCGGTCTTGGGGAGGGGGCGGGGTCAGTGATGGCGGCAGCAGCGTTATCATCTGTCTCTTTCATTTAGGGACACGGAGAAGTTAAAAGGAGAGATAAATAGAAGATAGTTTTTGTTCCAGTTAATTCTTTTGTTTCATGATGATAAACTGATGTTAAATTCAGCTTAAAGAGAAGCTGGGAGGAAGCTTTGGTTCATTTTAGGTTACAGGAGATCTGTCTCCTATCTGCTCCTCCAGAGACAGCATGGACATGAGGGTCACACAGGACAGGTTAGTGGAAAGGTTTGTAGTTAGCTGGTTAGTGAAGGAGATCCATCAGCTGGGTAATTTAATCCTAATCCAGCCCACCCACAGCCTTCTGCTGGTGTTATCAGGAAGAATAAAACACACATCTTAAATATTATTGGAAGTGTAGAATTTGTTTTATGTTTTATTTTCTGCATCAAACAGAACTTGATTCATTCTCCAACGTTTCAGAGATGAACCACTGGGTTCAAATAAAATGACAAACTAAGTCAAACATTTCATTTGGTGTTATTTCTGACACCCTTCAACTGCGGCATAAATATTTGACTTTAGAGCTGCTCAGAGACATTAAACACTCATATATGAACCCATTATGTATTTTATTATTACATTATGTGTCCTGTAGGTTTTCAGTTCTTTTTTAGATTTTGTGAGTTTTTGCAAAGCGTGTTTTTTCTCAGCCTGAGGCGTGGTGTTGAACGAGGAAACAGATTGTTTTACTTTGTTAAATCTTCTTAAATGTTTAAAATGTTTTGTCCTAACCTGTTGTGAATGGAGAGCTTTTGAGGGATGGCAGGTTGTGTCAATTACGTTTTTGATTAAAAAAAAAAGAATAAGTAAAAATAAAAGGCTATCTAACATCTTCTGTTTATCGATGAAAACAAATGAATATGAAATAATTGTGATGCATCGGGATATCGAATCAAATTGAATCGTTAACCCAATAATCATAATCGAATTGGGGAGACAAGTGAAGATTCACACCTCTAGATGATAGTGGAGTCCCAGTTTATAGTCGGAGGGTTTCAAGCTGTGGACCCTTCTGTAAGAAAAAGATCTCATATCCCTCACCAGGAGCATTTTCTTACACAAACGTGGAAAATTAAAATCATTCTTGCCAAACTGCAACAAGGAACTTTTGTCCGCAACCTGTTTGTGTTGAGGCTGTGAATTACTGCTTTTAGAAAATGACTGTGTTAAAATATGTAACACACACACACACACACACACACACACACACACACACACACACACACACACACACTGATCTGTGTTTTCATGATTTAGTTTAATTTCTTTCTTTTTTTTTCTTACATGGTCTCCACAAATGTTTTCCATACTTAATGTTACTCTAATGTGTCATTTCTGTTTGTTCTAGCTCCAAAACTTGGGAATCAATCCGGCCAACATAGGCTTCAGTACCCTAACCATGGAGTCTGATAAGTTCATCTGTATTCGGGAGAAAGTGGGCGAGCAGGCTCAGGTGGTGATCATTGACATGGCTGACCCGAATACTCCCATCCGCAGGCCCATCTCAGCTGACAGCGCCATCATGAATCCAGCCAGCAAGGTCATAGCACTTAAAGGTACGGCCCTATATTGACATCTAAAAAGGGACGTAAATGTATGTGTCTATTTCAGTAGTCTGAGATGTTCTGTCGGAGCTCAGTTCCAAGGGGCTTGCAGCTAGGGCTGGGTACCTTTTTAGATTTTTCTCGATACCAGTACGTAACAATTTCTGATACTTTTTTTGGTATCTAAATTTTAAGCATTATGTAAAGAAAGAACAAATAACTTAAATGTTAATATGTTTATTAAACTAAGTAAAAACTGCAAACTGAGTAAACACAGCTGACATCTTACCATCTGCTGAAAGCTAAAGACAAAGGAAATTAATGTTTTCTAAAATTACACAATATTTATTGAAATAATTTCTAAAAAAATAAAATTATTACGACATTTTTAATCCTTTAAATCTTTTAACAAAATGACACTAAACAAAATAAGAATCCACACACTTCAATCTGTAGTGTAAGAGTTTATTGGTCAAGCTTTCGGTCAGAGACCTTCATCAGGAATTGTGACCAAAGCTTGACCAATAAACTCTTAAATCGCAGATTGAAGTGTGTGGATTCTTATTTTGTTTATTCCACTTTTTGATCCAGCATCTTTTCCCAGACGAGCGGTGACTCCTACTCTAAACAAAATGACACTAAAAAGCAAATAAGTTTAATTGGCTTTCACAAGTTGTATAAAAGTATAAAGGCTAATATTGTATGTATAAAATAAAAAAGTGTAAAGTGCAAACCGTTATAAATCCTTTGCAGGAAAAAAGAAAATTCTTCAAAAACAAAAAGTTTAGATTCTAAATAAACATTAATAACGGGTAAAACAAACATAAGAAACTATACTTTCAATAGTGGCGTTCAAGATGAATAACAAGGAGCTTCACAAGCACAACTTATAATTATTATTTTTTAACTTAAAATAAAGATTAAAATAAAATGAACAAAAAAATGAGGGAGACAGAAAAAACAGAAATGACAGCTTATTTTCCTGCTGGGTTTTCTAACGCCTTTGGTCATTAGCCTGATGGAAAAATATTTTCCAAGCAATATTGATCAGTCCCAAAAACGACTATGGGCGAAAAACAAGGGGCCTTTGACATTTTGTTGTTTTCTGAATTTCATTGGTTATTTGATATGTCAATCAACAGCATTCCATACCGCTATTGGTTTGAGGGGGCGGTTCTTCTGAACTATCAGCCAATTGCCGAAGATTTTGCCTCAGCTGTGGTAGCCTTTTTGCTACTGACTAAGATGGGACGTCGATTAAAGTTTTGAAGCATAAGGATGCTAATGAAGGTTGTGGCGAAACGGACGCATGTGAGGGAAATTTTGAATGGTTTTAGCAGTGGACATGAGTGTTGTTGTAGGCCAACCATTTTATTAATTTTTTTATTGGATCCTTGTGGATGTCAACACAGCTATTGTTTGAAATTTCAGTTCTTTTAATAATGAGGGATCAAACAGTGAGTTAGACATAATTTTTATTTCTACGTTTGACAAAAGCATTTACTGTCTCTACAGTCATAGTTGTATCATTGATTGCCATTTATCAATACAATCAAGAATCCTAGCATTCAAATGAGGTATATCATGCATATGCAATTGACATGGAAGTTTGAGATGACCTATCCGTGAGACTAAATTATTGGCATGAAATATATATTGCTTGTAAAAACGGCAAGAACAGGGTCCTGATGGTTGGTAATTTCATCCAATCGCCCAACCTTACTGCACAACTAGTAGGCTTTGATCACTAGACTTAAGGCACTTGCTGAACCACAACAAGGAGGTTCTGCTCAGACAAGTGAAAAGAGAGTTGTAGTTGTCTAAGCGTGAGGAGATGAAAGTGTGGATAACTGTCTCAAGTTCAGAGCGGGACAGAATGGGACTCAGCTTAGCAATGTTCCTGAGATGGAAGAAGGAAGAGCGAACAAGAGAACTGACATGAGAATCCAGGGTGAGAGCTGGGTCAAAGGTCACACCAAGATTCTTGACAGAGGGTTTGGTGTGAGAATTGAGATGACCTTGAAAGTCTCTGACTTTGGGAACCAGCTTGTCTAGAGCACAGATGAGGATCTCAGTCTTATCTTCATTCAGCTGTAGAAAGTTCCCACCATCCAGGTTTTATAGTCTAAGCAGCTGCAGCTTAGATGTCTCATGGGGCTGAAAGGACATGTACAGTTGAATGTCATCTGCATTAAGAGATGGTCTCAGGACATGCTGCCTAGACAAATCGCAGCCAAAGCAAAATTATTTTGCACTGCATGTTGGTCTAGCCAAGCTCCACAGGAAGCCTACCATTGGCCTAAACAGTATTGTATTGTGCCAGTCACAGCGCACGATTGGTTTGGTGGGTGGGATGATGTGCTCATTTGAAACAACTTTGTCAACTTTGGCTTATTTTGACTTGGACTTTTCTTTGAGTCAAGGGCAAATAGAGATACTTAAGTCCTTTATTTAGGAAAAGGATATATTTACGTCTCCTTCGATAGTGTGTGGTGGACTACCCCGTTGACTGGCATCCATGAGTGTGTCATATTGTTTGTTGTCCAATAGCATGCAGACACATGGCGTGCCTGGCTACAGGAAGTATTGTAGATGGTGAACTGTCCTGTCGTGCCATATTTTTTTTCTTTCGGGGCAGTATTTTTTTTCTCCATTTTTCTCAGTGATCTCCTACCGGTTGTCTGTAGTAACAGGCTACAGCTGCACCAACATTAGCAGTTAGCATGCCCGACTGCTACTGTACCGTATGTGTGGCCGTATTTCAGCTACAATTGGTCCAACACGGAGCAACTGGTTATTCATCTCTTCTTTACGTCAGTGTTCTCTAACGTCTATTGAGTAAAAGTTATTTTATTGCTTTTTCCATCGCCCAGTTCTAGGACCAGTACCTACACAATGTTTTCAGTTGGTGTTGAAGAGGTACCTTGTTTCAGTACCCAGCCCTACTTGCACCTTTTGCACATCTCCTACATATCAACATTATTCATTAAATATTAATAAAAACTACATAAAATTTCCATCTTTAAATGTCCATATACATTCAGTTGTGGTTTTTATAGGCCTACATAGATTTTCAACATTTGTCTGACACTAGCAGTTATTGTTTTTGTTCAACATCCATTATTGCTTTGACTTTTTTGTTTTTGTCTTTTGTGTTTTTGTTTTCGTTACTGCTTTCTTATGTTTGCAGACGGTGAGTTGAAATTTAAATACTTATTGTGGAAGTGAAATCCTGTTTTAAGACTAGTATGACCAGTGCTGAGCAAATAGATCTGCTATCAAATGATGCTAATATGTATCTCTGTAGTAAACGTTTACAGCATGCAAACCTGAATTAAATACATTTTTGGGGTATATTTTGCTCTTTTACTCTTAAGGTTTGAAAATTTTTCAGTTTGTTTTAACAAGTTGAACCAAATTTTTCTGAAAGTTTTCTTTTTTTTACTAATTCTGGTCCATTGCGAAAGTCTTTTGTAAACAGGATTTAGCTTTCACAACCTTACAGCTTGCTGGCATTACATCATTTTTGTAAGTGTAAATGATTCAAAACTTGTTCATTTGTTAATAATGTGGGTCAGACAATTTCATTATAATTCTTGTTTTCTTTGTTTCCATCTCAAAATTGTCTGCTCATTCATCTCTGTGAAGTTTAAATGACTCAAATCTGTTTTCACTTGTCTTCCAGCTTGCTTGATAATGGTTTACACATTCTGCAACTGTTGACAGACATGTGATTTTTAACAGTGAAGGTCTGTGTTTAGAGAACTTTTAGGAACTTAGTTGGTCCATTCTGTTATCTTAAATACTGTAAATCCTCTAATACAGGCCTGGGCCTTTATTTTCTCAAGCGCATCCTGGTTTGGGCCTTTATTGCAAGGAGGCCAGAATTAGAGGCAGGCCTCAGTTTCAATTTGAATAAAATAAACTACCAGTAGAATGAATAAAAACAAGATTTTGTGTCCATAAAACACTAGGTTTGTTTATTGAAAATGTACAGTTAACATTGTATGTACGTATGCATGTAGAACATTAACAACAAACGCCATTGTTTCAGGCTAAATCCCAGTATGGTACCAATAGTAGCATGCATGCCGGTAGTGCTCTGTAAACACTTGGTGATAATTAGGTTGTTGATTCACAACAAAAGTCAAGACACCTTACCGCTCTGAAGTTTAACCCTTTGTGTCTTGTTTGGTTTGAAGTATTTAAAAAAAATCCATCTGTTTAATCCTCATCCTTCGCAGTTCCACGTTACAACATTGAACTAACGGCTAAAAACATTAGCATTCTACAAGCTATTTGCGGTAAGGACGCTTGAAAACACTATCAAGATGTTTACTTGCTGTTTTTGTAGCTATGTTTCTAAATAACTGTTCATTAAAACGCCGTAAAAATCCTTTAGTATACCCTTACCTGTGATGAAGGTAATAATAGCCACAATGAGAGACCAGCCTTTAATTACGCCCGCTGACCGCGAGACCGGCTTATGTAGAGACCCGATCGGTAATGGAGGCCAATATTAGAGGATTTACGGTATTGACCAATTAGGGAAAATTAGTTGCAAACATTTTTTTGTTGTTGGAGTGTTAAAGTTAATTTAACTGATGTTGACCAGTGCATGCTTGAAAGATCTATTAGCGTGACGGTTTTTACGGCGCTAACACGGACACAAAATGTAACCCATCTTATTTACTGTGTGACGCAGCACAAGTGTAACCATTTCAGGGTAATTTGATGGATTGATAAATGTATTCTAGATCAATTCAAATGCAAAGAGAGAAAGCCGTTTTTGGATGGCAGAGACTTGGTTGTAAAACATGATAGGTGTGACACTGTGTCTGAAACTGACTAATGACATTTCATCATACACAGTTGAGCAATTCAGTTGCCATCTTTCTTTAGTAACGGATAGTCTGAGCTGTGTTCTTGTGAAGAAAGATACAAATCAAGAAACTAGAAGAATTGGACGGGCATAAATACTCAGTTTAGACAGGTCCTCTTCATTTCAGGCCGTTGTCTGTCCTTTTTAAATTATTCTTTAAAAGCCAACCTTGCAACACAACACTGTAAGAGCCTTAACCTGTTGAAGGAGATGATGCATGATATGATCTGGGAAAGAATCCCTGTGCTTGTTCTTTTAAATTTGGCTGCTGCTCTAAGTTGTCGCAATGCTTATGATTCTGTTTCCCGTAGCTTTGTTAAGACAAAATGATCGTGATGGTTGTGCTAACACATTCTTCCTTGCTTTCATCACTTTGTCCATAAGTGTATTTTATAATGAGCATACGGGAAAGTCATGCTGCTTTTTAATAGTTTTAACTCACTAAAACGGCCAACTAATTAAACAGAAAATGCAGGTGAGTGAATTTTTTTAAGTTGGAGTCTGGTTTGCTTTCTGGACATGATAACACGCTTTAGTGCAACTGTTACCAATTAAAATTACTGAATGTTTATTTAAAAATCCTAAAGTTAAGTATCTTCAGGACTGTTTTTCATTGGCCACTGATTACCACTGTACCACTGATACTTTGCTTTTTTGTTTGTTTCTCAGCCTCAGCATTTCTAAATATAGGATTTGTTTTGATAAATGTTTTTATTCATTCTAAACTTTAAATAAAAAAACAGACATTTTAAGTTAAAAAAAACAACCATTTAACTGGAATGGGGAGAAAAAAGAAATGAACCAACAGAGTAAAGGAATAGACTCAATCAAATTTGGTTCTATACATTTGTGCGTTTTTAGGTATGTCTAGTTGTCGCCTACATGGGTTTATTACATTATATAACACTTATGAAAACCGTTTTGGAAGCTCAGACCTGTTTAGCTAAGTGGAGTGCTGAGTCTGGGTTAGGTTTGAGTCTAGACACAAGTTGTCCAGATAGGTGACCTCTAGAATAGGCTTTTCTCCCAGTGTCATGGCTTATTCATTATGCTAACACTGTGCAGAGGCAGCGTGTTTTTGATGCACACGTTAAAAAATCCTTTGCACTAACACGTTGGCTTCAGGTTTACTGTTTGTATTTTGACACGACTCTAGCCTGTTGAACAAATATCTCTACTTCTACTAACTTAATAGGGCAAAGACTGAAGCATGTTCTGCATTCTTGTCCATCACTCTTGGCCTTGTTCTTCAATGATCAAGTTTTAATCTCTTTTATCCAGTAAAATTTGTTTCCTTGTGAATGCACAGTTTGTGTGCACCCACTTTTATCCTAAATTTACCTCTCTCCATTCGCCTGGTTCTTGCTTTCTCTGCTCTTTAGCGGCCAAAACCCTTCAGATCTTTAACATAGAGATGAAGAGCAAGATGAAGGCGCACACCATGACGGACGATGTTACCTTCTGGAAGTGGATCTCCCTGAACACAGTTGCTCTGGTGACCGACAACGCCGTCTACCATTGGAGCATGGAGGGAGACTCGCAACCGGTTAAAGTCTTCGACCGCCACTCCAGCCTGGCAGGATGCCAGATCATCAACTACCGCACTGACGCCAAGCAGAAATGGCTGCTTCTCATCGGGATCTCTGCTCAGGTAGTTTTACAGTAGATGTAGTGATTTATGGTTTAAAATGGTAAATTGATGATAAATGGCCTGTGTTTGGTATAGCGCTTTCTAGACTCCTGGAACCCCCAAGGCACTTCACAACACAGTCATTCACCCATTCACACACACACATTCTCACCCTGGTGGGGTTGAGCTACGATGTAGCCATAGCTGCCCTGGGGCGCACTGACAGAGGCGAGGCTGCAAAGCACTGGCGCCACCGGTCCCTCCGACCACCACCAGCAGGCAAGGGGGGTTAAATGTCTTGCCCAAGGATCCGGGATCGAACCTGCAACCTTCCACTTTTGGGGCGAGCACCTAACTCCTGTGCTACCATCTCCTCAGCCTATTGTAACTTTTGTTACAATAGGCTGGTTCACATTAATAGCTGTATTCATCGATATTGGTCCAAACCTGTTGGCTTATGAGTATTTCATGTTCACTAATATAGTTTCTTTGTTTGCAGCAAAATCGAGTGGTGGGAGCCATGCAGCTGTATTCTGTCGACAGAAAGGTCTCCCAGCCAATTGAAGGCCATGCTGCCAGCTTTGCCCAGTTTAAGATCGAAGGAAATTCAGACGAATCAACTCTATTCTGCTTTGCTGTCAGAGGCCAGGCTGGAGGAAAGGTGAACATGACTGACCAAAACCCAAGCTCTTTAGGGTCATTGGTGACACTAAACAGTCCCTAGGTGTGAGTGTGTGATTGGCTGTGTGTCTTGTCTGTTTCTCTGTGGTGAATGGGTGATCTGTCCAGGGTTCCACCTCTGCTGGAGATGGGCACCAGCTCCCTGAGACCTTTACGGGAGGAAGTGGTTTCAGGAGATGAATGAATGAATGATTATAGACTTGATGTCATCTACATGTAGAGTAGTATGTTTCTCATGAGTATTCTTCCTTTGGTCCAGCTGCACATCATTGAAGTGGGCACTCCACCCACTGGTAACCAGCCCTTTCCAAAGAAAGCGGTGGATGTCTTCTTTCCTCCAGAAGCTCAGAATGACTTCCCTGTGGCCATGCAGGTACATTTTATTACCAAGAACACAGATGCGTCTTTTTTTTTAAATGTGAACAGACCTCTTGTCCTCTGGTATGTCATTGGTGTTGTTGCTGAACGAGTTCATTGAACACTTGTTCTCATGTTTAATTACTGAGCTCTGTTGTGGCTTACTAATAAAATGACAGAAATGGGGATCTGTGCTGCAACCCCTGCAATGAATCTGCACATTTCCAGTAGAGACTTGATTACATTTGTCCAATGATTTGTGAAATAATCAGCCAGACGGTATTAACGATTTTTTTAGACTGAATTTATTGTAGGAAAATTGGAAAAACAGTCCAGACTGATGCACAACACGTTTAACATGAGGTATCTGAACCGTAATAGATTTACATTTGAATGGTGGAAACAAAACCCAATGCCCGCTGCTGCCAACTAGTGGGCAGCGTTTGAATTGCATTTTAAAAAAAGAAAATACACAAATGTTTGCATGTAAATTCTTCCAAAAGTTCAATACGCCGCTTTTGAATATCAATATAATATCGCTGGAAAAATATCACGATATATTGCCATATTGATATTTTCTTACATCTCTACAGAGTATGGAATAAACTAGAACGAGTCAGAGGGGCACTGGTAATATTTAACTGTGCTTTTTCTACTAAATCATTTGGAGCTGACTGTTGCACTTTATGACCCAAGTTTTATACATTTGGGTAAACAAGTCAGACAATTCATTCACAAAAAAATAAAAAATAAAATAGAATATTTTGCACTTTAAGGTTCACCCTTGTTCCCTAGTTTAGCCTGGTTCTTCCCACAGATTGATTAATAATTCCTCTTTTTTTGAAAGCTATTCTGTTTTCCTCCTGCTCTACAGAACATAGATCATTTTTATTTATTCTTTTTTATCTTTTTAAACAAACAACACCGGTCACTAGTGTCCTGCTTTCTGAGAGAAGTTGGTACTTTTACAGAAACTGTTGGATTAATTTTTTTAAGTTGGATTATAATGTCAGTACATTCAATACATGAACTTTTCTTTTTACAGATAAGTGCAAAACACAATGTGGTTTTCCTTATTACCAAATATGGTTACATCCACCTGTACGACTTGGAGACGGGAACCTGCATCTACATGAACCGCATCAGTGGGGAGACCATCTTTGTCACGGCTCCTCACGAGGCCTCCTCAGGCATTATTGGGGTCAACAGAAAGGGACAGGTAAGGCTATCAGCTGATACTTGTCCCATCTGCTCAGGGAAGTGTTGATGCTGAGCACGGATGCTCATCCATGTTAATGTTTCTGAGACATCAGCTGTTCCCCATCGCCTCTTTCTGGAACACACTAGTCTGCTGTTTGCTTGTCAAGCATCTTTTACCAAATGTTAGCAAGCAGCAGACATCAGCTGTGGCAGAAGCATTTGCTTTGTTTGTTTATCATCATCAAGCAAGCTCAGACTCTGCCAGGAGGTGTTATAAATAATCCAAGGTTTGGAGTTTCACACACAGAGCAAAGAGGGTTGTCTGTTACAGTTTTTGTAAAGCCGAACCAGAGGAGAACTGGATACAGCCATCTAATAATTGTTCCAGCCAGGCTACACACACCACATGAATAATTTAGTTGGGAGAGGAAAGCTGATCCGGGACGTGACAGACATCACTGTGTTCAGAGGCAGTTGTATCACATGGTTGTAGCTTATATGTTGACTGTGACCTGAATCAAAAGCCTAGTGACCTGACCTCTCTGTAGTGATGGTTAAGTTGGTTATAAATCAGCAAAGCTGGATATCAGATGTTGATAAATAGTTAAATTTAACACATCTGGATCCTCACTAATGGTTGTCTTCTCCTGTTTTTCCTTTTTGGGTTTGGACTGCAGTAGAGTAAAAATGCACATTAGTTGCAAAACAAATCAATAGAAAAATACAGATTGATAAAAAACACATTGCCTTTTCTAAAGTGACTCAGTCATGTTACTGCTGTGCACTTTTTTCAGCCTCAGCTTTGTGGCATTGGCCCAAGACTCTGTTTAGTTGGATGGGTACATTTGGTCATGTACTGACACGCTGAAATCATGGTTGAAATGAGCAGTGATTTAGGAGAAGAGGAAGGGAAATAAGAGACAAAAGGGGATTAAACCACCTCAGTGTTTCACATAAGTTGTGGAAGGCACAGCTGGTGCCCTCAATCGCAGGACCTTTCTTCTCTCTCTCTCTCTCTCTCTCGCTCTCGCTCTCGCTCTCTCTCTCTCGCTCTCTCGCTCTCTCTCTCTCTCGCTCTCTCTCTCTCGCTCTCTGTCTCTCGCTCTCTGTCTCTCTGTCTCTGTCTGTCTCTCTCTGTCTCTCTCTGTCTCTGTCTCTCTCTGTCTCTGTCTCTCTCTGTCTGTGTGTGTGTGTGTGTGTCACTTGATACTGCAGTTTCTGTCATTTGATTCTTGCTGCTATCTTGAACATAATGGCTCCTAGTGGCTCTATTTCTTCGAGTGCATAAATGTGTATATCTCATTAAACAATACACTTAGTTTTTTACAATATTTTAAAACAAAATGTATAATAAAAACGCCTTCAATAGATTTCTATTGAAATTGGGTCGTTGCTCTTAATTCTGCATGATGTGTAAATAATTCAGATTGTGTGTAGGCACACACAATTCAGCAAAGTTGACACATTTAAAGTAAATTCAGAAATATGTAGAAGTTTACTTATTTATTTACTGAGTAGATATTTTTCCTCCTATCACATCAGGCAGAGCAGCGCCATAGCGCTCCTTGTACACAAGCCACCACTAACCATAAAGTCTCGCCTCCGTCTGTACGCCCCAGGGCAGCCATGGCTACATTGTAGCTTATCACTAGCGTATGAATGGGTGGATGACTGACTGTGTTGTGAAGCGCCTTGGGGGGGTTGTACAACCCTAAGAAGGCGCTATACAAATACAGGCCATTTACCATTTAACTTTCTCCAGGTGCTGTCTGTCTGTGTAGAAGAGGAAAATATAATTCCCTACATCACCAACGTGCTGCAAAATCCAGACCTCGCTCTCCGCTTAGCTGTCCGCAACAACCTGGCAGGAGGCGAAGAGCTTTTTGCACGAAAGTTCAACACTTTGTTTGGTGCTGGCAATTACTCAGAAGCAGCCAAAGTGGCTGCTAATGCACCAAAGGTACTCGTTTTTTATTGTCTGAACTCTGTCCAAGCCAGAACATTTTTGGTTTCTTTTGTTGAGGTTTTGTAACGACTTCATGCATAACTGTGTTTTATCTTTTTACATCTGTTCCTTCCTTTCTTTGGATTCTTCACTCTCAGGGTATCCTGCGCACCCCAGACACCATTCGTCGTTTCCAGAGTGTTCCCACTCAGCCTGGCCAGACATCGCCCCTGTTGCAGTATTTTGGCATCCTGTTGGATCAGGGCCAACTCAACAAGTTTGAGTCCCTTGAGCTTTGCAGGCCTGTACTCCAGCAGGGACGAAAGCAGCTTCTAGAGAAGTGGCTGAAGGAGGACAAGGTATGGTAGCCGCTCATCTTGGGGCTCAAAGGCATTTCCTGTCACTTCCTGGACTGTACATGACCCATTACTGAATACACGAGATCAGCTGATATGCTGGGAAGTACTTACTCTCCACTGAAACTGATTCTCAAATGCAGTAAAGTTTCCAAAAATAGGACTTTTAATTGATTGATTTTATTGAGCTCCTCGTTTCTTTTATTTATTTATTTGTGAAACTTGAAGCTAACTGCTGTCGTTTACTGACGTTTTGGTGCATGTTTTTGTTTTAGTTGGAGTGCTCAGAGGAACTGGGTGACCTTGTCAAAGCAGTGGATCCAACTTTGGCTCTCAGCGTTTACCTCAGGGCCAACGTCCCCAACAAGGTCATTCAGTGCTTTGCAGAAACTGGACAATTCCCAAAGATTGTTCTGTATGCCAAGAAGGTATGGGATTAATTTGAATAAAAACTAATCGATATGTCCATGTTGGTAATCTTTAAACATCTGAGGATCCTGTTGAAGCCGTTTCTCTAAAACGTTCTCATTTATTATTTTGCTCTAGGTGGGCTACACTCCAGATTGGATCTTTCTGCTCAGGAATGTTATGCGAATCAACCCGGACCAAGGACTGCAGTTTGCACAGATGCTGGTCCAGGATGAAGAGCCACTGGCAGACATCACCCAGGTCAGTAGGAAACGGGCAGGATCTGGAGTCGTACGTTATCATGTTCTACAGTTAAAGTGGAGCCTGTCTGCGCCTGACTCAGCGCGGCTCCACTCGACCCTTCTCCGCATTTCAGGTGGTTTTCCATTATCACTGGGAAATGACTGTGTGGGCTCGTCATAGCGGGACAGACCCCTGATCTTGAATAGTAGCTTGAAACGATACTGTAGGTGTGTTACTGACACAAGAACTTTAGACAACTTTATATATTGATTTACTCAGTTTTGTGAATCCTTTTTACCAAACACTTTTTAGTTTGATCTACTAACCAGTCAACAGTGTGAGGGGATCCGTGTACTACACAAACACAGCTCAACACAAAAATGGTGGTGACTGCTCAGTTTTATGGCTTTTTGTCAGACTGAACCAGGAAATGGCTGCAGGCAGAGAGCTCCAGAGCAACCACTGACACCGCCCCCTAACAAATCAGCGGCCAACAGTCGTAATGCCGGCCTGACTCAGTCCTCAGAACCACAACAGAGCAGGGACTGAAAAGTAGAGGGAAAATACCGACCCGTGCTGTTGGGAGAAGCGGCCAGACCCAACTAAACAATCCATAAATGCTGTTAGCCGTTGTAGCGCCACCAAAAACAACTGAATGTGTCACATCAAGCTCCCACAACACGGGCATACTTTAAATCACCTGTTTGAACTTTAACTTGTGACTCGTGTGTCTTTCTATCTGTTCAGATTGTGGATGTTTTCATGGAGTACAACCTGATCCAGCAGTGCACCTCCTTCCTCCTTGATGCTTTGAAGAACAACAGACCGTCAGAAGGCCCACTACAGACCCGCCTCCTGGAGATGAACCTCATGCATGCCCCACAGGTGGACCAATCTGCTTCAGCATTACTTAAAATTTGCACTTTTTCTAGAAAGATTCTGTTTCCAACGTTCTGTTCTGTTTAAAGGTTGCTGATGCGATCCTGGGAAACCAGATGTTTACCAACTATGATCGTGCCCACATTGCCCAGCTGTGTGAGAAGGCTGGGCTCCTTCAGAGGGCCCTGGAGCACTACACAGACCTGTATGACATCAAGCGTGCTGTGGTTCACACACACCTTCTCAACCCAGAGGTAAGCTTTAGGCTCTATTAGGAACAACACTGGCGTTTCTGCATTTTAATATCAAAATAAGATTAGCAGATTTAATAAAGAACGTAAGAATCAAATGTATCCTCGTCCACCTGCAGTGGCTGGTAAACTACTTTGGCTCGCTGTCGGTGGAAGACTCCATGGAGTGCCTCAGGGCCATGCTGTCAGCCAACATCCGTCAGAACCTGCAGATCTGTGTTCAGGTGGCCTCCAAGTACCACGAGCAGCTCACTACTCAAGCTCTCACTGAGCTTTTTGAGTCCTTTAAGAGCTTTGAAGGTGAGAACCGACACTCATTACTCATGTTGACGTGTTCTAGAGCACCATCACTGACCACAGGTCATATTCCTGTGGTCTTTGAGTTGTCCAAAGTTTTTATTCCATCTTTATTTTGACAGTCTTATCAAGACGTAAAATACATACGAATTGCAAATAGAGCTGAAACGATTCCTCGAGTACCTCGAATAATTCGAGTACAAAAAATCCTCGAGTCAAATTCTCTGCCTCGAGGATTCGTTTAATTCATGTTTAATTAATTCATGGCTTTGCAATCGCCCGGGGTCATGTTTCACCCGGACCGAAATAAGTGACGCACGTGCCCACTGGACTGAATGCACACGCGAGTAGCGAATAAAACTTTACTTTCTCTTAAGCCATGGCGGACAACGTGGACTCCGGTGGAGTGCGAAAAAGACAGGACATTTCAAAGGTGTGGGACCATTTTTCACGTCGTAAGGTGGAAGACGTACTCCAGTATAAATACAGTAAAATGGATTTAACCTACCACAACACCACATCCTCCGTGCTGCAGCACATGTAAATGTCACTTCTGCAAGCGGACTCGGAGCCTCTACAAGATAATGCATTTTAGCCTGTTTTTCTATATATTCTGCGGACACTGCGACTTTTTCGTTTGTAGCACTCAGTTTCAGCTCACACCGTACATCTGGTAGCAACACGTCGAACTTAAAATGTGCTAAAAATAGCAGTTTTACACAACACGTCGGACTTTTTATTGTGTTATTGATGTCCGTTGTCCCTCGGGGTGGCGGAGGAAAACGAAAGAAAGTAAATAAATGTTTTGTGATCAGTATAATTTGACATAACCACAGCAAACATGCTTTTGGCAATCCTTGTTAGTGTGAGACAAAAAGTGTAGAAATTAAAACGGACGTGTGTTAATAGGGAAACAGCCGGCGAGCTGTTTGCGCCGTGAGCGGTTCTGGTTCTGTTTGGGCCGCAGCCGCTCGCAGCGTTATTCTCCTAGTTTTTGTCTGGTTTGCAGGCTAGCAGATTCTCGCACGAGGGGAAAATCGGCTCAGGTTGTTTACTTATTTTTTGCACAGACATTTGTTTACTGTGAAGTAAAGTTGAAGTGCTGAAGTTTTGCAAACTAATTTTGAATAAAACTTGAAGAATAACTGGCAATTGCTTGCTCATTTTAAGAGGTCTTTCATAATTATAACATGCTATTTGATATCAAATCACTTTTATTGTCACGTCACATGTGCAGGTACACTGGTACAGTACGTGCGAGTGAAATTCTTGTGTGCGAGCTTCACAGCAACAGAGTTGTGCAAAAATACAGTAATGTAAAAACAAGTAAAATATAAAAATGGCTAATCTAAGTATACAAATGAATAAAGTAAACAATAAGATAAGAGATATAAAATGTACAGAGGTTGGTATGTGCAAAACAGTGGCATTAATGTACAGTATGGAGCGTGTAATGTTGGAACTTGGTGGAGCTCGCGACGAGGCAGCCATACTCGGCGCCATCTTGGCTCATCAATATATGATATAATGGTTTACAAACACAAAAGGGTAATTTATTAGAGTACTCGATTAATCGAAAAAAAGATTCGATAGAGTACTCGATTACAAAAATATTCGATAGCTGCAGCCCTAATTGCAAATGTCTTAACTCGTTTGTTGGCTATTTAGAAGTTGTTCATTAACCCCTCCAAAAGTTGTTCCTAACCATCTGACTTACTAAACTATGGAGTGTGAGATGGATTCCTAATGCATCAAGCTGCAACAATTAAAAAAACTAAAGAGTATTAGTCTTAACAAATTAAGTACTAGAAGTTGGAAAAAGATCCACAGGTTGTGTCGAGTGTTTATAAAACGGTTGACCTTAACTCTAGTAGGGCTGCAGCAACGAATAGATAAAATTGATAAAATTCGATCAAGAAATGTGTTGGCAATGCTTTTCGTGATAGATTTGTTGTGTTCAACTTTTTTTGTGTTGTGCAAACTTTATGTACCAGTTAGTGCGTGCAGCTCATCTGATGCGGCCGCAGAGCAGACTGAGGCAGATCAGAACGAGAGACACGTATGTCCCAGGTGTGATTATTGTGTAAGAAAGAGAGGCACAGCTCAGCTGGTTTCCGGGTCGGAACTGGATCAGAGCCGCCTGCATCACCAGGAGAGGATGCGTGGCTTTTAAAAATACCAGCTGAACTGTTTCGCTGGTGTCTGGGTCGGATCCAGCTCACAGCTCGCCTCCTACGGTACCGTCTCCTAGACCGCGTGACGGAGCGCTTCACACCGCATCTGTGATTCCTTTATTAACCATTGAGCTTCATCATCCAGGTCTCTTATGCGTCTTTGTGTGCGCAGAATTATGCTTAACATAAGTCTGATCAGTGAGAGGAATTCTATCTCTGTCAGCCATGTTTGACTGAATGGCTTTGTTTGGGTAACTGAGGCATGTACGTCCGCCGCAATATCCGGGCACAGCCTTCCCACCCCCTCCCCCTCAGACAGCTGGAACTTTTCCCTGCTGTGTGAAGGCAGCCGAAAGGACAAGTTCAGGTACAAAAGTGATGTGTCTGAAAACACAGTTCTGGTTAAAAACCGGACTGAATTGTCCACACATATTCCAGAATGTCAATCTGGAAAGGGTTCTATATGTGCATTGTGGCTGTTATCTATTTTTTTGTGCAGTTAGCTTTTTCAGTTTGCTGATTTAACTTATTCACTGCCATTGACGACTAAAATCGTCATTTGCACTTTTTTTTACTGTGTGGGCATCGGAACGAGCCCCCGCACTGTGAGGAAAAACATCTCAGCTAAAGCCGATCTTCATCCGCACACGTCAAACGTCATGTGATCAGGAAGCAGAAAATCCATGTGTTAGGAGATCACTTTGGGCCGCTGCTGTAAAAAAAGTGAGGGGCGAACCGGAAACGCTTCTGCCGATCATAATTCAACAACGGATTATGAAAACGGATAACGCTCGAAACACGCAGATTCTTTCAGATATAAGAGGTGAGTCTCCGCTTTGTTTTGGTTGTTTTGGCGTCGACATCATCCTAGCTCGCAACGTTCTGAGACTCTTATAAACACAGTAAAAACGGTGAGAAACATTGGCAGCGAATTAGTTAAAAAAAACAAGGAGAAGAAATAAAAGTTTGCTTTTCTGTTGGCATCATGGCGGAGCCAGGAAGTAAAAGTAAGAGTAATGCTGACAGATGTAATGCATGTATGCAGATGAAGTGGTAACATTAAAATCAATGTTTTGTTGCTCAAAAAAACCCAATAAAAAAAGAAACATTTTTACTTTGAAAATAGTGCAGGGCAGTGGACACACACACACACACACACTAAAAATATGAGCAGCAAATGAACACATCTGTTCAACTTGAGCTTGTGATAAAGGTGTAAATGTCTTATCACGCTATTTCATATCAGTTGATGCAGATAAATATCACGATTAGTGTCCGCTAGTAGCGCATTATTAGTAACTCTGTTCTTTTTACCAGTAACTATTAATCTGAGTTACTTTTTAAATAGGGTAACTCAGTTACCATTACTTTAGAGCTTTTCTTTAATATCCATTCATATTCATGAACCTGTTGATGGCATTGAAAATGGTGTTTAATCAGATTGAAGGGTTTCTGCTGGATCCCTATTGTGCTTCTGTGATGCACATTCAGATGTGTAAATGTTAGCTAGTGCCTGCTCTGATGTAACTCTTGTTCGTCCCTCAGGGTTGTTCTACTTCCTGGGCTCCATCGTGAACTTCAGTCAGGATCCAGAAGTTCACTTCAAATACATTCAGGCTGCCTGCAAGACGGGTCAGATCAAAGAGGTGGAGAGGATCTGTAGAGAGAGCAACTGCTACGACCCCGAGCGCGTCAAGAACTTCCTCAAGGTGCAGATGAGGCGTCTCAAGCATCACACCCTGAATCTTTCTCTTTGGCATCATTGGTGTATTTAATTTAAAAGTGATTATTTTAGTTTTGCTTCATATTTACATACTGCTAAAGACCAAGTGCTCCGTTAGTAAATCTGATCTAAAATACTCAGCACCTCTTGATTTTGAGGTTTTTGTAATAAGAAGATACTTGTTCTTGCTAACTGACCTTTAGCGTGGAAAACAATCCTGATGGTAAATAACTTTTTGTTTTTTTTCTCCCTTTGGGATGACAGGACATGTATGAGGTAATCTGCCCCTCCCCACTGCACACAATCCTTTTGATTTCCCTCGCTTCCCTGATGTTTGTAGTTTTTGGAGTTTGTAGTCAGTGCAGCTAGCGTGATGAGTTATAGTGACTTGGTGCACATAGTTCTCCTGTAGGGGGCAGCAGTGTGCCTGCTCATTTAAGATCCTCTTACAGGGATCTGTCTTTGAGTTGGATGAAAATTACATTAGTTCTTTCTTTTCATGAATTCAATTATTGGTACATCAGTACTTCATGTTGCTGTCAGAAAACTAGTTTCTGCTTTTGATGTTTACAGTAACCTGGTGGACCAGGTTGGTTAAATGGGTGTAACGGGGACTTGCTGCCGATGATGACATGGTTCTGACTCTTTGCCCTCACACAGGAAGCTAAACTCACCGACCAGCTGCCCCTCATCATTGTTTGTGACCGTTTTGACTTTGTCCACGACCTGGTTCTCTACCTGTACCGCAACAACCTGCAGAAGTACATTGAGATTTATGTTCAGAAGGTAAAAGCTGGAGTAAACGGTTGTACTACATCCCTGCTACAGATGGAGGTGCTGATGGTGTTTGCTTGTCTTTGGTCTAGGTGAACCCGAGCCGTCTGCCTGTGGTTGTTGGTGGTCTCCTGGACGTGGACTGCTCCGAGGACGTAATCAAGAGCCTGATCTTGGTTGTCAGGGGCCAGTTCTCCACTGATGAACTGGTCGCTGAGGTGGAGAAGAGGAACAGGTGCTGTTCTTTATTCCTGTAGATTCTTCCCATCACTGTCTGAAGAACCTATTTATAAGTGAACACAGCGTGGTTCCAGGTGCTGCAGCTCCCCGAGCAGCAGTTCCATTAACCACGATGGTTGTGCCGTTTCTCTGTGACTGCCCCGTGTTCTATCCTAGATGCATGCTGAGTATAGATGCTCCGCTGAGGTCTTGTGCTGCGATCACATGGATCAGCCCTCATTTTTCAGTATAGTGCTGCTGGTTACACGATCTGGGAAAAATGGAAGACAATTTGTTATTTTAGAATTAAAAGTTTTGCATTTGTAAGGAAAAAATACGAAAAACTTGCAGCAACTATTCAGTCAAAAAGACAACCGAAGCACATTACCTGCTACCAGTAACAGACTAACAGCCCAATAGAGTAGAAGGTAAAATCTCACAACAATGTCCGGCAACAGGCTGCAAATTATGAGCCACGGGTTTTTATGCCGATAATGATCCGTGGCCAAAATATTGGCACGCTACTAATCTGAGCCTAGTGTTTTTATTTTTTTACTGGATTATTACTGTTTGGGGAGGAGGAAGCCAAAACGAACTTTTCTGTTCATCAAAATGATGTTTTAAATGTTTAAAACTGAAACCTAGTGAGTCCTCACTGTCCTTCTGCTGTCTCAGACTGAAGTTGCTGCTCCCCTGGCTGGAGTCTCGTATCCACGAAGGTTGTGAGGAGCCGGCCACCCACAATGCCCTGGCAAAGATCTACATCGACAGCAATAACAACCCCGAGCGCTTCCTGCGGGAGAACCCGTACTACGACAGCTGTGTGGTGGGGAAGTACTGCGAGAAGAGAGACCCCCATCTGGCCTGTGTGGCTTATGAGCGAGGACAGTGTGACCAGGAGCTAATCAATGTGAGGACTTGTTGCTTCAGGACACTTTATGTGTCTAACTGCAGAGTTAAAATTGTTGCCTTGTCCACGTCAGGTTTGCAACGAGAACTCCCTCTTCAAGAGTTTGTCTCGCTACCTGGTCCGGCGCAAAGACCCTGAGCTGTGGGCTAGCGTGCTGCTCGAGAGCAACCCCTTCAGACGGCCACTCATTGACCAGGTAGAGTTTAAACAGATGACTACCCCCCCCCCACACACACACACACACCCCTGCTTTGTGTTTCTCTAAGCTTTTGAACTTGTGGTGTCAGGTGGTGCAAACAGCCCTGTCAGAGACCCAGGACCCAGAGGAGGTGTCCGTCACAGTCAAAGCTTTCATGACGGCCGACCTGCCCAACGAGCTCATTGAGTTGCTGGAGAAGATAGTGTTGGACAACTCTGTCTTCAGTGAACACAGGTGTTTAACAGCAACATGTTTGCTTCTACTGTCGCCTTGCAGCAGTTTTTACAATGACGTGAAGAATCAGAGGAGTGAGTACTGAGCTGCTCTGTTTGGTTTCAGGAACTTGCAGAACCTGCTGATCCTCACAGCCATCAAAGCAGACCACACGCGTGTGATGGAGTACATCAACAGGCTGGACAATTATGATGCTCCTGACATTGCAAACATCGCCATCAGCAATGAGCTCTTCGAGGAGGCCTTTGCCATCTTTAAGAAGTTTGACGTCAACACATCTGCTGTGCAGGTCTGTTGTTGCCCTTTAGTAACTACAACTAATGTCTTATTGATGGGAAAGGCTTGATCACCTCTTCACCCCCTTCTAGGTGCTGATTGAGCACATTGGAAACCTGGACCGAGCCTATGAGTTTGCAGAACGCTGCAATGAGCCGGCTGTGTGGAGCCAGCTGGCCAAGGCTCAGCTGCAGAAGGAGCTGGTTAAAGAAGCGATTGACTCTTACATCAAAGCAGATGACCCCTCTGCCTACATGGAAGTGGTGCAGGCTGCTGATAAGAGTGGTAAGGAGGCTTGTTGGGCTTTAGTAACCTAGACTTGGGTTACATTCATGTCGTAGGAGCAATTACAAACGGTTGAAGTTTGTCTTTTGTGAGTAAAACTGTATTGATAGGGTACTATTTTACCAACTAATCTTACTGCATTAAAGGCTCGTTAGACTTTAATCTACAACAATGAATGACTTTAGTTTGGTCAGAGGAGTAGAATCCTGGACTAGCTGTGTCTGGTTGGTGTCGACCGATGGGACCGTGAAGCCTCAAATGGATCTTCTTCCAGGTAACTGGGAAGACTTGGTCAAATTCCTTCAGATGGCTCGCAAGAAGGCTCGTGAGTCTTACGTAGAGACGGAGCTGATCTTTGCTTTGGCCAAAACCAATCGGCTGGCTGAACTGGAAGAGTTCATCAATGGACCCAACAACGCTCACATCCAGCAGGTTTGAGCCAGACCCATCTTTTCTGTCAGACCGCCATAGAAACGGTCTGCTTCCATCATCTCCTTTCTTTGTTTTAGGTTGGTGATCGTTGCTATGATGAGAAAATGTTCGAAGCCGCTAAGCTTCTGTACAACAACGTCTCCAACTTTGGTCGCTTGGCCTCGACTCTGGTGCACCTTGGGGAGTACCAGGCAGCTGTGGATGGAGCTCGCAAAGCCAACAGCACCCGCACCTGGAAGGAGGTGTGCTTCGCCTGTGTGGATGGACAGGAGTTCAGACTCGCCCAGATGTGTGGCCTCCACATTGTGGTGCACGCCGATGAGCTGGAGGAGCTCATCAACTATTACCAAGTAGGTGATGTAATACGTTTGTGTCTGAAGACCTTAAAGTCACTTTTGGATTATCTGCTCATTTATCTCCTTGAATTATTTCCCCCCTCCTCCAGGATCGTGGCTACTTTGAGGAACTGATCACCATGCTGGAGGCTGCTCTGGGCCTAGAGCGGGCTCACATGGGGATGTTCACGGAGCTCGCCATCCTTTACTCCAAGTTCAAGCCCCAGAAGATGAGGGAACATCTGGAGCTCTTCTGGTCCAGAGTTAACATCCCAAAGGTCCTGAGAGCAGCAGAGCAGGCTCATCTGTGGGCCGAACTTGTCTTCCTGTACGATAAATACGAGGAGTTCGACAACGCCATCATCACCATGATGACCCACCCGACAGATGCCTGGAAGGAGGGCCAGTTCAAAGATATCATCACCAAAGTGTGTTTGATCAGCCAGTCTAGCTCTGTTTCAGCAGATGCAACACCAGCGTGCACGCGTTCTTCCTTTTTTACGTTCTGGTTTTGTCCTCATCTCTGTAGGTGGCCAACGTGGAGCTGTACTACAAAGCCGTCCAGTTCTATCTGGAGTTCAAGCCCTTGTTGCTGAACGATCTGCTCATGGTGCTCTCTCCTAGACTGGATCATTCTCGCGCAGTCAACTATTTCAGCAAGGTTTGTGTGACTTATGAAGATCTTAGCAGAAAGCATGCTGCATTTTAACTGAACTGGTCTGCTGACAGGTAAAGCAGCTGCCTCTGGTCAAGCCTTACTTACGGTCAGTACAGAACCACAACAACAAATCAGTCAATGAAGCACTTAACAACCTCTTCATCACTGAAGAAGACTATCAGGTGGGTGGTGGTGTCTTTATCGTTTTACAAATATGAACATTTTTCTACATTTGTAACTCATGCGACTAATTTCAGGCACTGAGGACATCGATAGATGCTTACGACAACTTTGATAACATCTCACTGGCCCAGCGCATGGAGAAACACGAGCTGATCGAGTTCAGAAGAATCGCTGCCTACCTCTTCAAAGGCAACAACCGCTGGAAACAAAGTGTGGAGCTCTGTAAGAAGGACAAGCTCTACAAGGTGCTCCTCCCTAGTGAACAGGCTCATTGACTGAGTTAAAGGTTAGCGAAGCCAGAGATGATTTGATGACATCCATTAATTGATAATATCCCCCCTGCAGGATGCCATGCAGTATGCATCAGAGTCCAAAGACATTGAGCTGGCAGAGGAACTCCTCGCTTGGTTCCTGCAGGAGAACAAGAAGGAATGTTTTGCTGCCTGCCTTTTCTCCTGCTATGACCTGCTGCGACCCGATGTGGTGCTGGAGACCGCCTGGAGACACAACATCATGGACTTTTCTATGCCATACTTCATTCAGGTCATGAGGGAGTACCTCTCCAAGGTACGCCAGCTCTCCTTCTGTTGGAGTTAAATGAGCTTGAGTCAGGAGATCGTTGGTAGATCTGAGCTTTTGTGGTGATCCAAGCAGGAAAAGCTATCGATCTCTGATGGAAGAAGCACGTTAAATGTTTCTGTAGAATAGTTGTAGTGTTCCTCTGTCATTCATCGTGTCTGGCGCTGCACCTCTTCTCTTCCAGGTTGATGCTCTTAAGGAACAGGTGACGGAGAAAGGCTTGTTTTTGTTCTGTGTTCAGCCTGAGAGATTGCAGCCCTGAGTGTGCATGCTTTTAGCTTCAGCACATTAGTCTGATGTGAGGATGGTGACGGAAACCTCTGCCCCTGGTAAAGCCAGGGCGAAGGCTATGTGTAATCTAAAAGGGCCTTTTCTCAGGGTGACTTAATCACGTGGAGCTCCGGCCTCTGCTACAGGTTCATGTTTTATGGAAGATGCACTTTTGAACCAGCTGTTGGATGTGCCTGGCTTCCTGGTTCGAGTATTTCCCTCTGAAAGGATTTTCTGGCCCGAGTCGTTTCCTCCTGTTTGCAGTCCGAACTCAGACTGCATATTTATGACAGTCCGACGTATGGCATGAGACTTCCAGTAAATCAGATGCTCCATCTACAGAGTTGGTGTATGTCAGGTGCACTATTAAGCAATTCACCCTTGTGCTTGTGCTGCAGCCTTCCATCGGAGAACCAGACGTTTTGCTCGAGTCTGTATCTCACTGGTTGAGACTGGGACAAGCGACTAGCTACATCTCTACGGGTGTTGCCAAAATGTTCACGAGTTATGAATACGGTTGTCATGGGGCTCTCTGTGCAGGAATGTGAAATGATGCTGACCAACTCACGCGTTAAAGCAAACCCTCTCTTAGTTTCTTTGGATAAGACGTCGTGAGAGATTTGAGACAACTTTGGGACATGTCAGAGACCAAATTTGCAAACATTAAGACAAAGTAACAAGAAAATCTTCACCTCAGTTGGTTTGAAATGGTCCCACGCTTCACGTGGCCAGATAAAACACATAGCTAAAACATGATATCAGTGTGGTTCTAAGTAAAGGTCGCATGTATTCCTCACAGTTATGTCTCCAACTTGTTGCCGACAGTCTCAGCCCAGTAAGATGCTGACTACTGCTGCATCTGACTTGCTGCCTGAATTTCTTTGGTTTCTGTTTTTCTTAAATGTTTCATATCGTTTTACTTTTGTGAGACGAGGCAGAGGCATCTGTTTGCTGTGATGGGCAGGTATAAGTAGTAGGACTGATCGATTAGACACTGATCATTATTGGCCGATTACCATGAAAAATATATGTTCTGTGTATTTGATCTACAGCCTGTAGCGTCTCCCTTTCCTTCGCTCTGCGCAAACTCTAAACAAACATGTCGTGGGACAGGCTATGAAAACGACCTCACGGGGGTGCATGTTAAAGTACTTTGTGTGACATTAAAAGAATAAAGACGCGGAGCAGCAACAGACAGAAGGCAGCTAACGCAGCCTACGGTCACCTCAGGGTCCTGCAACAGGGCAGTACCTTCAGGTGACTCGGGTTAAAGTCTTTTCACTGGTGCAGAAATCCATAAATGGAAGGTGATACAGGTGTGATCGTGAGCAGAGCGAGAGCAGGAAAGGCAGGGGGTTGGAAAGCGGACATGATGTTAGTTCAGATGGCAGATGGGATTAAATGGAGACAGATGATTTGCTGTGGCGCCCCCTAAAGGGAAAAGCAGAGATACCCACATGTCTTTATTAACTGTGTGGCAGCTCTAGCTCCAAGTGGGCAGAACCCAGATAACCACATCAGGTTTGGAAATCACCGTAACAGGTGCAGATGGGTTAAACTGGCCCTGTGCAGGTCTCTGACTCACCGTCACTCGTCCCAATGAGCACGAGTCAGACTGCGCAAATAACCCAAAAGTATTTAAATTCATTGTTCTGGAAGACGAGGCGTTCTCAGTGGGGGAAGACGCTGCGTTCTGCCCGCTGAGCTCACCGTAGAGCTGCAGCTGCTACACAGGAAATAAATAAATAAATCAAGTATCACTAATAAATAAATGCTGATGCCCAATGTTGTTGGATTTATTTGACTTTCTGCGCTGCATTAGACTCTTGCTTGATGGATGTGCCAGTGATGGCAGCCATATTTGCTGTTGTCCTGTTGCTGCATTGTGCTGCAAGTTTGTACTTTTCTCGCTGAAACGGTAAAAGCATGTTTGTTCTAAGTGAAGGTGATGTTATGGTTCCTTCTAGGCCATGCTGTCAGTAGCACTCATCATAACTGCACGGACACATTTCCAGCCAATCATGTTGGGGACCTCCGATCAGAAAATGGATTTTTGTATCATCAGCTGTGTTTTAGGTTTAACAGCTAGAGAATTATCTTTGGCACTGAGATGAAAATAAACCATCAGCTGGCTTTTAGACTTGGACCTTTCTGTACGGGTCACGGCCATGTTGACCCTTTTAAATGTTTAAGATCTTGGTTCTGATTGTGTTTATATCTTTCTAATACAGGTTGATAAACTTGAAACCTCAGAGTCTTTAAGAAAAGAAGAGGAGCAGGCAACAGAGACGCAACCCATCGTCTACGGTGAGACGAACCGTGGCGCTGTGATCAACATTAAACATGATGGATTCGGTTTTGGTCGTCTGTTGTTGTCCTGTCTGAATTAGTCTGGTCAGTGACGCATACTCTCATTTTGATGTTTTGTAGGAACTCCTCAGCTAATGCTGACAGCGGGCCCCAGCGTGCCGGTGCCTCCTCAGCAGCCTTACGGCTACGGCTACCAGGCGCCCGCCGGCTACACTCAACCAGCAGCTCAGCCGGGCTTTGGCTACGGCATGTGAAGGCCCCTCCCCCTTCTGTCCACTTCCAGGCTGGAGCTACCATCCATCCATCTTCCACAGTCCTTCACCAGACCATTATTGTCCCTCTGTCCTCTACAGAGTGGGGGGATAATACCGACACTTTTGTTTCCTACCTTTTCCTTTTTTGAAATCGTCATGAAGGACTCAAGTTTTGTTTCAGTTTTCATGGTAAAGATTAATTTCCTCACATTCCACAGATTAATCCTAAGTCTGTTTTATTTGAACGGGAAATGGTTTCTGCACGTAAGGGTGGGCTTGTGGGGAGGGACGTGCCTCTTCTCACCTTTAAAAGAATAGGTCTGTTGTGAAGCATCTAATTTGCACTCTGTAGTGAGCATTCATGTAAAACTTGTTCCTGTCACGTGCGAGCAGCTTCATCTGACTTTGCATTGCATTTAATTGTATATTCAGATACAAAAACCTCTACTGTGTTTATATTTTGCAACAGCAAACTGCTGCTTTCATGGCCATGATCCTGAAACACTACGTCCTACTGAACATGATCCCACTCTCTCTCTTCAGGGCTGTTTGTTAAAGAAAATCAAAGTCTTTTATACACGATTTAAAGGAAAGTGATTCTTTCCTGCACAGCCTATGCAGACGTCTCCAAACAAATTTCCTTTAACAAAAGAAAAACTGCTCTGACATGAGACTAATCTGCCTCAGGAGGGACTGCAGACCTGTGTGACTTGCATACACCATGTCCCTTTACAGTGGTCAGAGTCTTTTTGGGTCATTGTTACGAGTGTCCAGGAGAGATTCTTTTTTTTTTCTACACAAACTTTTCTTGGTCACGTCTAACTCGGTTGGTTTAAATCTAAACAGAACATTGCAGCACATGTAGGGGTTTGAAGTTTTTATTAAAGGCTTGTGTGTATACAGGAAATCAATCATTAACTCCTTGTATTATCTAAATGACCTTAGATTTGAATTGTGCACTTGCGATACTTGATTATGCATAATCAAGATGATAAATGAAACAGTGGTTTTGTTTCCTCTTACAAAAAAGTAAAAATAAAAGCTTGTCAAATGATGTTCAGGATTCTGATGCAAACATGTGTTAATGTGCTGTGGCTGATGCACCTGAATCAGGAAGCACAAGTCAGCTGGAGGAGAAGGTAGCTTCAGATGGCAGCTTCTGGAGTCTTATTTCCTGATGTTTGGACATTTAATTCAATTTATTTATAAAGCGCCAAATCAGGACAAGAGTAGTCTCAAGGTACTTTACCAAGTAAACACTCCAATACAGGTCAGTTCATTAAGCCAGTCAGTAAAGTTTCCTATGTAAGGAACCCAGCAGGTTACATCGAGTCACTGACTAGTGTCAGAGACTTTACAGCGATCCTCATACTAAGCAAGCATTGGCGACAGTGGAGAGGAAAACTCCCTTTTAACAGGAAGAAAACTCCAGAGGATCCTGGCTCAGTATAAGCAGCCATCCACCACGACTCACTGGGATGGAGAAGACAGAGCACACACATTTTATAACAAGTGGTGTTTCTACTATTGTGACTTCTTACATATTCTGTTTCATAGAAGAAAAACTTTAACAGGGAATTTATAATTCAACAGCTGAACTAGTAGTAGCACTTTCTATGTTAAAGGAGATAAAACGTTATCAGGAGAGGGAAGTGGTTAGCAGCAGTGTGCCAGCCGATGGCCCCACCATGAGGCCACCACAGCCCAGCAGAACACCATTGTAGCTTCTTACAAGAAGAAAAACACTTAAACTGCTAAAATGGCAGGAAATAATGCATTTAGAGAAGTGGTAGAAGAAAGTAGCAATGTGGAAAGACCTCACCTCTGATTGGATAACAGCAACATGACTCTTACCAACTCTGCTCTGCAATGTCGATGTTTTATCTCCACAAATAACACTGGAGTTTTGCTGTGTGGTGGAGTTACCAATGGTTAGCTTCTACTAGAGACGTTCCCTGCCATTACCTGGAAGCTAAACCACCCATCTTGACTGTCGTGTGTGAATGTGAAGTGCAGTGTGACAGATGTCAGGATTTTCTAATCCTAGAGTTTCATCGTCTATTTTCTATCACAAGCTAATGCAGGAGATATGTGTAGGAGACTATTTTCCTGTTCAACCTGGATGAAAAAGTGACCAATTATAATCAGAAATAACCATTAAAAATGGGGTTTCTGTGTTCTACACCTTTCATCTTTGGTGTTTGTGGCATGGGGAGCTTTAGTCATCCCCATCTATTTCCAGACCATGGCAACTGCCGAAACAGGAACGGAAGTCTATTTTGATGCCAAGAATGTGCTTCTTTTCAAACAGTGGCAAGAGTTAAGTTTTGTGTGAAAAGACATAAAGGACTACAAATGTTTGTCCCAACAAATAGATGTAATCGAACCAGACAGAAGAGAGGAGTTAAGCGAGCTTCAAATCCTTTCAGGATGACCGGAACATGGAGGAAAACCACCATAAACCTGGTCATGCTAGCTATGCTGGGCAGTAGAGATTCTGCTGAGTTGCCCAATTTTAAAAGTTTTAGCTTGTCCAAAATGCTGCAGCTAGATTTCTGATGTGAATTAAAAAGAGAGATCATATTCATATCTCTCTTCTTAGCTTCCCTACATTGGCTGCCTGTTAAATTCAGAATAGATTTTAAGATCATCCTCACTTATAAAGCTCTTAATAATCAAGCTCCATCATACATCAGTGATCTGATTGTTCCATATGTTCCTAACCTGAGCACTTCGCTCTCAGACTGCAGGTTTACTGGTAGTTCCCAGAATATCTAAAAACAGGATGGGAGGCAGATCTTTGAGTTATCAGGCTCCTCTCTTGTGGAACCAGCCCCCAGCTTTAGTCTGTGAGGCAGACACCTTGTCTACTTTTAAGAATAGGTTTAAAACATTTTTATTTGATAGGGCCTATGGTTAAAATCTGATGTTAGCCCAGATCTGGACAAGTGGAGTGGAGGGAGGTGGAGAATACAGTCGGTAAAGATGGCTCTCCCTTGCCCTGCCTCCAACATGCCACCATCTAAAAGGCTAGGTTATCCAGAGTTATCTCTGTAGTTATGCTGCTATAGGCTTAGATTGCTGGAGGACACACTGACCACTTTCCACACTCGACTACTTTCTTCTACAATTTGCTCTTTAACTGTATTATTTCCTGCTATTTCAGCTGTTAACATTATTTTCTCTCTAAGTGTTTTTCTCCCCAGAAAAAGCAACAATGATGTTCTGCTGAGCTGTGGTGCCCTCATGGAGGGGGCCATCAGCTTGAACACTGTTGCTAACCATTTACACATTCTCCCTCTCCTCATAACATTTTACTTTCTTGACATTGAATGTGCTACCCATTTAATTATAGATTCACTAGGATAAATACAATCTCGCCAAATAGAATATTTACTAAGAAATCACAATTTAACCATAAAACACTACTTGGTATATGTTGTGTGTGGATGTGTGTGTTCTGTCTTCTCCATCCACAGTGAGTCGTGGTGGATGGCTGCTTATACTGAGCCAGGATCCTTTGGAGGCTTCTTCTGGTTAAAAGGGAGTTTTCCTCTCCACTGTTGCTAAATGCTTGCTTAGTATGAGGATTGTTGTAAAGACTCTTGACACTAGTCAGTGACTTGATTCAATTTGCTGGGTTCCTCATATAGGAAACTTTTTCTGATTGGCCTAATCACCTGACCTGTATTGGAATGTTTACTGTGCGAAGTACCTTGAGACGACTCTCGTCATGATTTGACGCTATTTAAATAATCTTGAAATTTGAATTATGAATTTTCACAAGCAAATAAATCTGAAATTACGTGACAGTCGAAATACATTGGTTTTCATTTAAATTGGAGTACAACATGTGTTTTTGGGCGTAAGGAAAAGCGGTTTAGAACATATCTTTTCTAGCCCTGTTCAGGGACCCACGAGCCCACCGGAGCGGGAGGAGGGATGTGATTGAGTAGATGGAATGTTTCTTCATTTTGAACAGTAACGGTGCCAGCACAAGTCCATAATGGATCCATAGTAAAACACACCGAGACCAAATCTAGTAATGTATATTTGTCAATGCCATTTCTGCTGCATAAAAATACATATGCACCAAATTCAGTTATTTAAAACAAAAAATGAGCTCAGCATGGTTTATATTCCAATAATTTCAACAAGGAAATTGTGATGTCCCAAAGATGTATTTAGTAAATCTAGTAGAGCTTCAAGTGTCCAGTGACACGGTCTATCAGATCAGCAGGACCTGGACCGACTCCCAGAACAGTGCGGGACCCAGGTGCAATTTGTGTCCTTCCTGCATCCTGGATTAGACTCACAGTAAGCCCCACTTCTTTGGCATGAGCCAGCAGCTGAATCAGGGTGTCCTCATCCGGGGCCTTCACCACCACCTTGGGTTGGCCGCAGTACTCCCACTGTCTGAGCAGCTCTGGGTTTCTCCGCTGTACCTGCCTGTATGCTGCCACGGCAGCGTGGGAACACTGAGCTGCGATTTTCCCTTTGCCCATCTTTAGGTCATTACGCACCACTAGAACCATCTTGAACTCCCCCCCTTCACCCATCACGCTGGCCTCTCCAGAGCCGTTCCCCATCACATTTACTGGGCTCTTCTGTGTTGGTCCAAAGCGGACCCGGAGGTGCCATCCGAAGAGGAGTCCACAGCCCAGTCCGGTGACGACTCCCAAACCCAAGGGACTGTATAACGCATTCATGCAGTTCAACCTGGAAAGACAGAGTAGAGTTCAGTTAGTTAGCAGCCCATCACTCTGGATAAAATGCTTCTGGTTCATTTTGTTTCCTGTTAATAAAGTTTAATTTACACGCACACGTTAGACAGTTTCAATAACGCTGAAAGCTGAAATCCGTTTTTAGATTATTTCTGGAACCGTTTGGTTTGCATGAGAGCTAACAAGCAGCTAGTCGATGCTCCCATGGAAATATAAACTTTAAACGCTCCCGGGAACACAACACCGTATTTTGAACATGATAAAAAAAAGCAAAAAAAAAAAAGTACGTACAATAACAACAAACATCTAAGGGCAGACGTCTGAAAACCACAGTACTCACAAACTCATCGTTCTCCTCCTGCTCTGCTAGTTCTTCTGAACATGAATGAACCGGAATGAACCTTGGCACTACTACCGGAAGACACTACGTCCTCCTCCACCCGCTGTTCGTTGCTGCCCCCTATCGACCAGGAGGCAAATTGCATGATGACGTCACACAAACATATCAGATCATCCGCCCTCTGGCGGCCATTTTTCATACAAGAAATTGGGTTATTAATAGGTCATAAAATAATTACATTTGAGTATAAAATTTGATCCGCATGAGTTTTTAAATCCTAATAAAACACGTTTGGTATAAAATTATTACTTACCTTTTCAATTCAATTCAAAAATACTTTATTATTCCCAGAGGGAAATTGATTTCAAGGCCCAAAAAGTGCCCAACTACATCTAAACCCCTCCCCAAAACACACACACACACACACACACACACACACACACACACACACACACACACACACACACACACACACACACACACACACACACACTCTCTTGATGAACTAGTAGTAGCACATTCAATGTCAAAGTAATGCGTTATAAGGAGCTCGAGAATGTTTAAGTGGTTAGCAGCAGTGTGCTAGCTGATGGCCCCCTCCATGAGGCTATCACAGCTCAGCAGCACACCATTGTTGCTTCTTCTGGGGAGGAAAACACTTAGAAAATAAACAGCTGAATAATACAATTAGAGAGAAGTGGTAGAAGAAACTAGTGTGTCTTTAACCTTCCGAGGTATCAGAGAAAACCCCTAGTCCAGGACGTGGCTCTTGGGATGCTGTAACGCTCCCACAGTCATGGTGGGGTCAAATGGACTCCATGTGCGCTTTGTGGGTTTTTTCTCAGAGGTGTGACCAAGTCACTGCTTTGCAAGTCACAAGCAAGTTACAAGTCTTTCCAGTCAAGTCTCGAGTCAAGTCCAAGTCAAAGACAACCAAGTCCAAGTTGAGTCCAAAGTCAATGATGCGGAAGTCCAAGTCAAGTCCAAATCCTTAATTTTGAATTTTCAAGTCATGATCAAGTCATCTGTCCAACTTTAACGACGATGGTAATAGATTTCAGAAATAAAGCTTCTTAAAGCTTCATTTATTTGCTCCAACAAGCAGAAAGTGCAACTGATTCTAAACAAAGTGCTGCTGCAGTTAGCAGGAAATCAAACCCAGAACGAAGAACGATTTATGATTTTTGTCCACTTCGGGCCACTTTTGTGCTAAAATATCAAATATGCTCAAGTCAACATCAAGTCAACAGATGCAAGTCGATTCAAGTCGCAAGTCATTGGCATTGAAGTCTGAGTCAAGTCATAAGTCTTTATAGTTTTTATCAAGTCAAGTCAGAAGTCATTAGAATAATGACTCAAGTCCAAGTCATGTGACTCGAGTCCACATCTCTGGTTTTTCTTACTTTTGACAGCTTCCCCAGACTGTAGCAAGCCGAGCCTTCCTGCCCGTATTACAGAGCCTTGACTCAAGTTTTGATTTTTTTAACCCTCCAGCCATGGGCCAGGACCCCCTTGCATACACTCACACCTCTCACGCTTTCCCAGATCTATTCTGTAGTTCCAGTGTTTAGCCAGCAGAGGGCGACCATTGCCTTCCTCGTTCATGTTAAAGCTGAGTTTGTGGTTCTTATGTAGCTCCATCCTCTGCTTCCCCTCCTCCTTCTTCTCTGTATTATTAATTTTCTAAAGAAATCATTGACCGTTTAGGATTTTTATTTCAGCTTCAGTGACATGCCACACCCGTGAGGTGGGATGGATTATCTCAGCAAAAAGTGCTCACAAACATAGATGTAGACGGATTTGTGAATATTTTAGATTAATGGGTGTTTAGTGTACTTATAAAATGTGTCGGATCTTTGAGTTCAGCTCATGAAAAATGGGAACAAAAATGAAAGTGTTGCATTTATATTTTTATTGACTTTAAGTTTTGTTACATTCTTTCTATTTCTGTTGTGAAAGTAGTAAACTATACTTTTATCCTTATTTTAACCCAACACTACACTGTTTAGCACTGAGCCTGCTGAAAACAGCGTAGGCCCGAATCAAACACATTCCTCTGTCAGATAGGAAATCTCTCAAGATCAAACGTGACATCAGAGTGAACAAACCATCTGGAGGAGCGTGCTGCATGTTTCCAGCACCTCGCTCACTGATTGGCTGCATGTCACAATAAACATGCAGCATGCTTTTTTGTCCTCAAAAGCCAGACCAAGACAATCCAACACGTTTGAAAGATCTGATTTTTTTTTTTATTTGAGCGCTCCCGACGAACTTCTGGGCAGATCAGTGAGCTGGTAACACACCACACACTGGAGGAATATCTGATAAGATTATCTTTAGAGCTATTATGGTAATCATATTAATTCTGTGATGTAACTGGGGTTTAGTTCAGTTTTCCTTCTTTGATGGCAAAAAAGGTAAAACTTACATTTTAAAAGGCTTCAAACAAAACAGTCGTTTAAAAAAAGTTGAAGGTGTACTTAAACAAATTCTTCGATTGTAAGTGACAGGACGGGTTGTTGAGGAGTCTTGTAAATTTTCAAATGACTACAATGTTTAAAACAGAAGCTTAACAAAACAAGTTCTGTGGCATCTTTAATATTCGGAAAGAAAAAAACAAGCACAAATTTAACATTGAAACCTAAAAAGATTCCAAAAATAACAAACTTGTGCTCACTGTCACCCTTACTTTTGACACATTAGCTTGGTAAGAACAACGTTTCAAATGTTCAGTGTGGGGTGCCACATGCTCGTCCATCCTAAAACCTGAGCCGGGGCAGGGAGCTTCCATTAGATCCACTTTGGTCCAGGCGCTTTGTGCACTAACGAGACACAGAGAGCTTTATGAGCCATCTGAGCAAACTGCTCCTGAACAGAACAGTGAGCAAGTCACATGCAGGTGAATCCTACCTGTAGAGCTTTTTTCTGATGGAGATACTTTACATTAGCCAGCTCATTCTCCAGTCTTTGATTCTCACTCTTGAACTCCTTCATCCTCAAGTCAAGAATCAGCAGCTCTGCCGTCAGCGCCTTAGGAATGAAAACACACATCTCCAGGCTCAGTCGGACTGGTGGACACTAGACGTGATGGTGGAAATAACTCCTGATAGGTATGACATCGACATGTGGTAACCTTAAGTTTTTTGGTTCGGTCTCTGATGGTCCACTGGTACCGTTGGAGCTGTTCAGCTGCTTCTGGACCAGGTCGCCTGGCCAAAACGTGCTTCAGCTCCACGTAAAGCTTTTCCTTTTCCTTGGTAATAAAACAAGACAACACAATCTAATGAGTGCTAAAATGTAAACATGGTCCTACTGCTAACATTTAAAACGGACCCAGCATTTAAAACCACATTTACCTCGTTGTTAATTACAGTGGGTACAGAAAGTATTCAGACCCCTGTTCATTTTTCACTGTTATATTACAGCCGTTTGCTAAAATCTATTAAATTATTTCTTCCTCATTAATGTACACACAGCACCCCATGATTACACAAAAACAGAGTTTCAGAAATGTCTACAGATTTATTAACCCTCCCACTGTCCTAATGGGTGTGACCCCGCGAGGAAACTTATCCCTTGAGGTCTACGTGGCTGGGGTGAGGTGGTGCTCACTCCTCACCCCTGCCACATGGACCCAAGGGATAAACCATCAACCCTGCTCAATGGTCAACTTTCCTTGCGGGGTCACACCCATTAGGACAGTGGGAGGGTTAAAGACAAACTGAAATATCACATGGCCCCAAGTATTCAGACCCTCTGCTGTGACACTCATATTTAACTCCAGTGCTTTCCATTTCTTCTGATCATCCTTGAGATGGTCCTACACTTTCACTGGAGTCCAGTTGTGTTTGATTATACTGATTGGACCTGATTAGGAAAGACACACGCCTGTCTATATAAGACCTTACAGCTCACAATGCATGTCAGAGCAAATGAGATTCATGAGGTTAAAGGATCTGCCTGAAGAGCTCAGAGTCAGAAGGCACAGATCTGGCCAAGGTTACAAAATCATCTCATCTGCACGCCTAAAATTAGGTGTTTTTCCGTGATATGAGGTGCTTTGTGTACATTAATGAGGAAAACATGAATTTAATTGATTTGAGCAAATGGCTTCAATATGACAAAGAGTGAGAAATAGACGGGGTCTGAATACTTGTCGTGCCCGCTGCATTTGCATATCTAGGATGGTTTGTTTGGCTAGCTGACCAATACCTGCAGCAAAAGTTCTCGCTCTTCAAGCTCCTGGGTCTTGACTATCAGTCTCTTTTGTAATGACTGAATCTTCTGGATGAGCTGGTATTTCCCAGGATCGCTGCCCTATAGGAAGGAGTCATCAACATAAAGACCTTTAATTCTGAAAGGCTGAAGTTGCTACAGGACAGTTCTCATCCTGGTAAAACAAAGGCGAGTACAGAGGTGAGAGGTTCTGTGAATCTTCTGACTGGGAAGCCACCAGACTAACCCCTCACCTCCAGCCGCCTCCATCTGTGAATATTTATGGGCTTCAGCTGCTCTTCCAGGATGCTGCTCCTTGCTTTTTCTCTGAGCAGCTCTTTCTGCAGGTGGAACAGTTCTGTCCTGCAACACAGCTCCCAAGTTTAACATCACGTGTTCAACAAGCTCAGAATCAGAAAAACACCACTTCACTTCACCTCACTGTGTAAAAATAATCAGATCCCATAATAATACGGTATCATATCAGACCCAGTGGACTCCGGACTGGACTAGACTGGAAATGTTGTGCAGGATTGTTTGATAGGACTTATAAATCTGTAATGGAACGGAGATCCCAGTCCAGATTGCTGGAGGTTATTCGAGCCCGTCACCATGTGCAGATGTGGACAGAACTGCCACAACGCCAGTGACAGAAATAAGTCGAATCTGACAAAAGTAATAATAAATAAAATAGATATGAAGTTAGGCAAAGAAAGTCAGACAATGCTTTTCAACCATGCTTTATAGCGCCTCAAGATAAACAACACGAGACGCTTCCCGAGAACAAACTGATTTAAAACATTTTAAAAACGATTAAAAATATGGTTAAAATTAGAAATACCTTGCACAACCTTCTGAGGCCCTCACTGCAATCAAACAATTCCTGTAACTGTCAACAAGACTTCTGCACCTCTCAGCAGGTATTTTGGCCCACTCCTCCTGAACAAACTGCTCCAGTTGTCTCAGGTTTGAAGGAAGCTTTTTCCAGACGACATGTTTCAGCTCCTTCCAAAGAGGCTCTACAGGATTGAGGTCAGGACTCAAAGAAGGCCACTTTAGACTAGTCCAGTGGTTTTCCTCTTAGCAATTCCTGGGTGTATCTAGCTGTGTTTTGGGTCATTGTCCTGTTGCAAGACCCATGACCTGTGACCTATGACCTGTGACTGACCATTGGCCAGCACATTTCCTTGACAGTCGTGAGATTTCATCGTACCCTGTACATATTCAAGACTCCCTGTGCCAGATGCAGCAAAGCAGCTCCAGAACATAACAGAGCCTCCTCCATGCTTCACAGTAGGGACAGAGTTCTTTTCATGTTTCCATCTGTGAACACTTGGTTCCATCTTTGTCTCATCTGTCCATAGGGCATTCTGCCAGAAGCTTTGTGGTTTGTCAACATGTAGTTTGGCTTAGTCCTGTCTGGCTTTGTATGATTTGTTTCCAACGATGGTGTCCTCCTTGGTCGTCTCCATGTAGTCCACCTCGGCTCAAACAATGACAGATGTATGATCTGGCACTGATGATCCTTGAGCTTGAAGCTCACCTTGGATCTCTTTAGATGCTTTCCTGGGCTCTTTTGTCACCATTTGGATTATCCGTCTCTTAGATTTGTCATCAGTTTTCCTCCTGCGGCCGCGTCCAGGGAGGTTGGCTACAGTCCCATGGATCTTACATGTCTGAATAACATGCAGCTGTAGTCACAGGAACATCTAGCTGCTCGGAGATGGTCTTAAAGCCTTTCTCTTTAACAAGCTTGTCTATAATTTCCTTTCTAAGACAACTTTCTCCTTCACTTCCTCTGGTCCATGTTGAGTGTGGTACCATGTCACCTAACAACACAGTGACTGCCTGAAGCTCTATAGACCCACTGATTACCAGACTGTAGACACCTGTGATGCTAATTAGTGGACACACCTTGAGCTAACATGTCCCTTTGGTCTTTTCGAGGGGTACCATCTTTTTTGTCCAGGCCTGTTGCATGAGTTTATTTTTTATAATTTCATTAAAGCTTGGTTGAAAAGCAGCGTCTGACTTTCACTGGTTACATTTCATAAACTTTTATGTATTATTACTTTTGTCAGATTCCAGTTATTTCTTAGCCTGGCCTGCCAGACTCGTCCTCTGTTTAATTCTGCACAGAGGAAGTGCACAGGCTAGTTATTTCTGTGACTGTTGTGTTTTGTTTTCACTGACCAAAGGGTACCAACAAATTATTCCACATCTGGATCAATTCAAATCTAAAATCTAAACCTCATTTGTGATCCTGCTATTTTGCATGAAAACTAATCCTTTTCCATTTTGGCCTTTGCCTCCCCTGGTTATGTTTTGCCATCCCTCTCCTTTTCATTATTTACCTCAGCTTTTCCGTGTTGGGCAGACTCTTGTCTATAATGGTCTTCTTTTGGTTGAGCTGTTTGATCTCCATCTTGAGCAGACGGATGTCCTCCAGCCTTTGATTATAATGGAAGTCCCCGTTGCTCAGGACTGACTGCTGGATTTTGATCTTCTCGTACAGCAGAGCACGTTCATTATTACGCTGTAGCAGCTGTTTGCTGAGACTTTCCTGCTCCCTCATTAGCTTAAGAAAACAAACATTAGACTCAGCAGTAGGCGTGTGTCTTCATTCAACAGTCTCACCACTTACCTTTTCCAGTTGCTTGTTTTGTTGGATTTGTTCACTCTTAATGTTGGCGATCACCTTCTGCAGATTTTGCTCTTCTGCTTTTTGGCTGTCAACGATCTGCCTTGTTTTATCCAGCTGCAGCTTTGTTTCTTGCAGCTCTTCCTGCCAAAGAAAGAGAGAGCAAGCGCTCACTCACTTAAGACTAAAATAACTTAAAAAAATTGGGAAATGATGGTTTCATGTAAGAAATTCAACATAAAGACCCACAATGTAGAAACAAAGGGAAGGAGGGCTTTAGGGAACTAAAAACAGACTCGTTCAAGCTTTCTGGATCTGGGTCTCTCTCCTGTCCTCTTGGACCTCCGCTAATGCAGGCAGAAGCACACCTATCCTGGGTTCCTAGTAAATGGAAGTTTTCCCTTCCATCGATGCCCTTTACACTGCGCTGATCAGAATATGGAGGTTGTGCTGAAGTAATTATCCAATCCATAAACTGATTCACATTTGAATCACAATTCTTATTCATAATGACTCTGAACTGATCCTGTCTGAAATCCGTTACGTAAACTGTTGGTTTTCCAAGTGTCCCTGAAGGCATCATCGCTGGAGCCAGCACTAGCTGCCCGTGTGTGCTCATATGCTGCGATCTGCTGAAATACGACAGAGACTTCCCTTAATTATAATCCTGTGTGTGTTTTATGATTCTATTCTATTCTATTCTAGTCTAGTCTAGTCTAGTTTATTTAAAGAGCAAGTCACCCCCAAATCAACTTTTTTTTCTGATTAACTACATAAAAGTGTGTCTAATCGTGCTGCAGACACGTGTAGTCAATAGTTTTGCACTTTAGTGCATTTTAGTTTAAATTTTTATTTTTTGTCTAAAACTGTCAGTGTTGTGCTGTTGTCAGGTAAAAACTCTGCACTGCATTTGAATTTAAATCTACCATCGCTATTGGCTAAGAGGTACCCTAGAAAGTTAGCTGGTACCATATGATGTCACAATGTTGTGTGTGTGTGTGTGTGTGTGTGTGTGTGTGTGTGTGCATGCGTGCGTGTGTATTTGTTAGCGGTTCCACCCTCTCGGTCTGCTAGGCAACAGCATTTGTTGCATTTTTCAAACAGGAAGTGGGAGTGGAGAAAGAATCTGGTAGGGTTTGACTTGGTTTTTAATTCTATTCTATTCTATTCTAGTCTAGTCTAGTCTAGTCTAGTCTATTTAATTGTATTTTATACTATTCTATTCAAGCTTATTCTATTCTCTTCTAGTTGATTTAATTGCATTCTATTCTATTCTATTCTATTCTATTCTATTCTATTTTAGTCTGAATATAACTAATTGGAATTGCATACTTTAGAGAATGTAATTTCATCACAACTGAACTGAATCTACTGTAAACGATTGGCTCACATCTGGAGCTGATCTGAATCATACTCGTTTCAGCTTTAAACCCCTTTAAGGTGAGTTTTGTAAAGTAAAGCTACATAAATATTTTGAATTGAATTATCACTCCTCTTGGGACGGACTTATCTAATTTTATAAAATTTTAGATCAACCTCTGTAAACCGGTCTCAGACAGAATGCCGGTTCGGGACACTGATAGGATGACAGTTTAAGCTAACAGCACCTGGCCAATAAAATCCCACAATACAATTAAATACACGCACTTAGGTAGAAGAAGATCAAGAGGACAAAGTATTATCAAAGAATTTATGAAAACATCTGGACTATGGATTGCAGACATATCAAACCAAGGGCAGCAAGCATGACCAGCAGGTGGAGGAGGGATTTCACACCTCGGCCTCAGGATCCTGCACCTGATCCCATTTGTCAGACCACAGCTTTAGGATTTCTTTACTGAAGTGGCTGGCTGGCTACGTGACCAGTCAGGAGGCAGCTCACGCAACCAAACCAGCTGGATGTCCTCAGCAGCAAGGACAGCACTAAGAGGTGGCCTAGCAGCTTCTGTGACTAAAGCTCGTTATGAAGGCAGCTTCTGAGGAATGGAAATGGAAATGTACCTTTAGAGCCTCACTGCTCTTCCGTAAATGCTTGTTCTCCTGCTGATCTTTAGCGATGGCCTCCTCCTTCCCAATGATCTCATACTTAAGCTGCGTGACTTGGTTGGTCATTATCTTCATCTTTCTTTTCATCTCTGCAATCTCCTCCTGAACGACAGACAGGCAAAGACAGACAGAAAAGCGAGTCCAGAGGTTTTGTCAAAGAAAATGCAACCGCTCAACACAATGACACGCAGAGTCGGACTCAGCTGACTGACAAACCCTGGATAATTAAAGTGACACTTTGCTCTGAACACAGTCAGAGTACACACACTACAGATAACCTGGGCCCAGCTTGTTGTGATGAAAACAGTCCCACCTGAGTCTCAGTAAGGTTTCTGCTGTAGAGGTTTCTTTCTGAGACGACTGATTCCAGGAGGTTTTCTTGCTGCTTCACCTTTGACTCCGCCTCCGTGACTTTCTTCCTCCAATCAAAAACCTCCATCTCTCTGACTTCAGCATCTCTGATATTCTGTTGCACCTGTAGAAGAAACGAGCCATTAGTAAAGCCAAGGTGTGATGTCATAAAAGAAGCTCCTCTATCTGGAGAGCTGCCCTCTGCATGAGGCTGTTGGTTTCGTTGATGTAGTGGTCTCGCTCTTTTTCCAGCTGATGGATGGCTTTGCGCTGCATTTGGGCCTCTTTGATGTAGGCGCTGATCTCGTTCTCCAAGACCTTCTTGTCCTGCTCCAGAACCTTAACCAGGCTCTGCTGCTTCTCAGTTGACTGCACAGCTCTGATCATGTTCTGTGCATCAAGATACAAATGGTAGCATTTACACGGAGATACATGCTGCAAACAGCATTCTGATAGGACCAGCGTTAAACAGATAACCTTGTGTAAGAGGTCCCTTTCTCGGATCATTTCATCTCTGGCCTTTTTGTCTGACCCCATTTGGTTTCGGAAAGATTCGAGATCTGCAAAGGGGAATGGTTTGAGACATTATTACTGACTGGCTTTTTAGCTGAAGCAGAACTTCACCAAAGCAAAAGAACGAGGGTGTAGGAATGAACCCCAAGAGCGAACAAAAGAACAGAGATCACTGAAAAATCATAACATCAGAACTTCTCTATTATCTAACATTTCACAGCTTGCTCCAGGGCAACCGTAGTTTTAAAAGATTCATCATGTCATTATTCATGAAACAGAAAACGGACACCTGAGGATCAGATACACCTGATAATCAGGTCGGTCGACTAACTAAACAACACAGTTATGAGCTCCTTGATAAAAGCTCTGAAGAGTTCTTCGTTAATGTAAAATAATTCAGACGGGCAAGGCCATCCTACCAGAGAGCCCAAGAGCTCCGTCAGCATTAAGGGTCAGCAGCATTTCATCTGAATCCCCTCGGGAACAGTGGCATCAAAGCAAAAGGTGCACTCCTTTTGGTTTGCTAAAATGATGTATTCAAATCTGTTTGCTCTGCTTTTCTGTTTTTGTCTGTATTGGCTCAGTTTGATGCATGTCAGTGTTTTGACTTCCTTTTAGTGTGTTGGCCCAGAGGTCATCCGACCTTCCTGACCTCCGGATCCACGAAGAGGGTCTTCCAAAAGAGTGAGGTAGACACAGCATGAATCGCGTCTGATGTGGGTTTGATAAACATCAACTTCCAAGTTAATGCAAACCAAAGTCTTTCCTTTTTACACCCAGAACTCAGTTTTTCTAGAGACGAAGGTTCTGATAACCTCACATTCACACATAGTCACCGTACATCACATCCCATCCACCTAGATCCATCCTTCACAGTAATCTTAGTTAACTTTTCATATTTATAATTGTTTGGAAAATAAATTCTTACTTTTTATAAACTTGACTCTCTTCTTGAATTAATGTGAAGTGTCCTACAATCCCTGAATAAACAAAGAATTCTAAATCTTCTGGTTAAAACATTCAAAGACCAATCAGACTGGGTTCCCATATTTATATGGAAATTCACATCACATTGGTCAAAGTGTAGGGTAGTATATTAAGCTTTAAAAGCACCCAAATACATACAATAATTACTACGCTACATATATAACAACATAAGAAAATGGTCTTTATTTTCCCCTCAGCTACACTGTAAAACCAGACTGAGGTAGTGGTTTAAACTAAACCAAAAAAACTGTTGAAGTTGTTTCAGCTTTTGTTCTAAAGAGGTGAAAGTACGTTTAGAATGAAAGTTATTTAAATAGGAATACAAATTAACATTTGCTGTCAACAAAATTTGAGTTTGTTTCAACAAAATTGGTCATTTTCTGATTAAGTAACCAATAAGATATCAGACCAAACGTTATTGCACCAGGAGTTTATTCTACTAATCCATCGCTGATCTGATCTTTAGCAGTCAGTATTTGCCAGCACTCTGTCTGAACTGTTCACTTCATATAGACAGAAATAATTATATATATATTTTGTAAAGTTTTCGATTCTTGGTTTTGTAGTAAAGTCACAAGTTCATCAGCTCAGGAGTCAAGTGGAGATGTTTAAGAGTCTCCTACCTTTCTCTAAAGCAGCAGTGTGTGCTTTCAGTCTCTCCTTCTGCACGTCTGCTTCAGCTTTTTGATCTTCCACTTGGTGGAGCTTCTTCTGGAGGACTTTCCTCATCTTGGTTTGTTTAGCAACCTCCTGATGCATCAGACTGACCTCTTCTTCTCTCACCTGGTCAGTCAAAGGGTGTGATATAAGATGTGTAAAAACTACACACACCGTGAGTAAAAAGTGGTTAACACAGGAGGCTGGATTTTACAAAGCAGACATCAGATAAAGAATTCACTTTAGAGTTGGAGGATTTTAATTTAAATGAACTCAGAAGAAGAAAAGTTTCTACACTTAACTTCAGAATCACACATTATTTTACAAAAGTAAAATATTCCCTCCAGGCTCAACAAAATACAAGTGAAACAGCAAAAGAATTAGAATATGGTGAAAATGTTTATTTATGTCAGTAATTAAACTTAAAGGGCGAAACTAATATATGAGACAGACTCATTCCATGCAGATCTTGCAGACAGTTGTATTCTTTATGGGCATTTTTACATTTTCGTACAAGCTGTCCTAGTTTGCTCAAACTGTTTTGTAACAACGCAAATGTTGAACCTCAAGCTTTTCTTTGTATTTTGTTTCTTTTTTTCATTGTTTGCATGACCTTTGTCGTGCGTTCGTCATAATAAACTAGTGATGCACCGATATGAAATTCTTGGGCTGATACCGATATACGATATTAAGATCACTGTTATGGCCAATAACCGATATTTGCCGATACCGATATACTGACATTAATGCTTCTAAAATCAACTGATTTTGTATAGAAAAAAAAGATTAAAGCTGAATTTACGTTATTATGTACACACGACACACACATTTACGCTTTACAATCACTGTGACAACATGACTAAATAATAACACATCACCCCCCTCACCCCCTGAAACAGGCAAACAAAAAGTGACAAGATGGAAAAAATATCAGTTGATAATATCGGCCCGGTTCTATTTATCGAACCGATATTGATATGCAAAAAAATGACTAACATCGGCCGATACCGATATTGATGCCAATATATTGCCCATGCTTATAATAAACAAACTAAAAAGACAGAAAAAGAAAAATATATTTATAAATTCTGTCGTTTTTATATCTATCTATCTGTGAGATCCAAACGAAGTACCTTCAGCTTGTTAGCAGTCTGCTGATTTTCCAGAGATAGACGCTCTTTGGCTGAAGAGAGGTGCTCACATTCCTGCTGCAGCTTGGCGTTCTTCATCTGTAGTTGCTCCAGATCCCTGATGGATCGCTCCTGTAACATCTATGGCACGTTGGTCCACACACACACAAAAATAGACACACACACACACATGCACACACAAACAAACACACACACACACACACACACATGTAAATGCATATTAACAATGATGTCAGCTAGAAGTGGCTGGGTAGAAGACTTCCAACCGGCGCACCTTCAGCTCCGTCAGCTGTTGCTCTAGTTTCTGCTTCTCCTCTTTGACCTTCTGGCTCTGTAGACCCAAAACTCTGTTATCGGCCATCTTGTTCTCCATGTCAGCGTGCAGCTGCTTCACCTCTTTGACCAGCTTCTCCTTTGTTCTCGTCTCTCTGGAAATCTCATTCTGCTGTACCTGAAGCTCCTGCTGCAGCTGGGCGTAAAAATAGCCGTGTGTCAGATGACTGTACTGCCTATAAAATCCCATATAACCAAATACATGGATTATGTTGTTTGGTGTAACGTTAAGTGCAATGCTTAGTTCACCATAAACAAGTAGCCTGTAAACAGAGGTTAAACGTGCATGAAAATAGAAAGTCAAAGGAAGACTAAAGTTCTGATTTGGGTTTGATGAATGCTCCAGACGTCATTAAACTATCATATAGAGTCGTGAGGACAGGTTTTCTTCCCCTTTAGGAGGTTCTGTTCCATAAGTACCTGAGAAATGTTCTGAAAGGCCTTCTCTCGTTGTTCCTGTAACTCTTGGTGGGTTGTGACTGCCTGGTTTAGTTTCTCTTTTAGACCTTCCACCATTGTTTCCAGCTGATCCCTTTCATTTGTCAAGTCTTGAACCATGATAATTAAATCACTAAAACAACAAATGTGCATTAACTGGTGTGAACAGTTGACAGCATGGACGGCCTGCTGGAGGCAGCGAGGGTCAGTCCACTTACTGATGGTCCTCAGAAGATTCCGGCTGTTGGAATGTCGTCTTTGTCAGGTTAGAAATGTCTTCTTTCAAATTCTTCAAGGTCTCGCTGTCTTTCTCCTGTTTATCGTGAGCAGTAGCAACCATTTTCCAAGCTTCATCCAGTTCCTAAAATGTGACAAATCACATTTTAAAGTACATCACCTGAGGTAATTAAAATAAAACAGTCACATGGTTATTTCAAAACATTAGAAATCAAGTTTGAATATTTGAAAATTTACAGATTTTTAGGTATAACATAATATTTGCAACCTTTTATAAAAACACAAGACACAAACTGGAGACTTGGAGGTAATCTACCATCTTTAGTGGCTTTAATGCCGCCTGGTCTTCCTGGGAGAGTTTCAGGGCAGCAGCTGCTTTAGAGGCAGACACAATCTCTGCATTCAGCTCCCTGCATTTAAGCATGAGGATTTTCTCGCTGTCCCGAGACTTCTTCAGTGCAGAGAGGAGTTTTTCATACTCCATCCGTATCCTGTCCATGCTCTTGTCCCCAGCCAGCTCATTTACGACAAGCTGGAACTCTTCCAAGGACTCAGAAGAGCCCTTGCTTGTAAATTCCTGTAAATAAACCCCAACACATGACTTAGTCTGGGTTTGTGGAGGAAGATCCGACCTTCATGCATCTGTTCATCATGCTGTTGCATCTGCATCCAGATGGAACATAAGGCATTAAGCCACTGCTGTCACACATCTAAACCATTTGTCAACTTTTGTTGTTAGGGAACAAAATATCAACAGACTAAAAAGAACTACCCCGTTCCCTCCACTGCTGCTCCATCAGTATTGCTTAATAACTTCTCACGTAAACCTTCACAAACCAAACTCACCTCCATTTGGAAATCAGCAGTGAGCTTGCTCTTCGTCCTGTCCGTCCCGGTAAATGTTGACATGGTAACTAAGCAACAGCTGGTCTCGCGGGACTTTTGGAGACATGTTGGTTTCTCAGCAACTATCGCTGTCTCGTGAAGAAAAGCCTTTTCAACAATGATGCTGTGTACATTGTCCTCACATTACAGGGTGGCAATTAGCACCCGCCACCGGCCAAATGCGGGTTAATTGGCACAACGCACACGCCACAGCGGCGGGCCTCAAATATGAAGATAAAGCAGCGTTGTTGTTAATACAGCTGACCTGAGGGGGGCAGCAACGCGCCTGTGTTGCCGCCATTCTCATTAAAATAAGAACAGAACAGCAACGTTAGCATTATCATTGCCATTGCCATTATTGTCTGAATAAACGGCTCGCTGGTGCGGTGGTACGAGCAGAGCGCGTCGGGCACGAGCTTGTAATGAGCACGCGCCTCTTGGGCACTGCGGAGCCTCTCTTTATATTTTGTAACGACAGAATAAAGTTGACCCTGTAGAGTTTATGTTCCAATGGGATGATGGTTTTAATAATAACAATAAGAGCTGGACAAAAAAAATACAAAAATGAATCAACTATAAGCTCCTTACGAGAGAATTACACCTTATTTATGATTACAGAGAGCTATATCAGTTTATCTCCTATTAGTTGAAAGCGAGTTAAATAAGCTTCTCACTTAGAGATGAGCTGTTAAAGTTTATCTTATAAAAAGGCTTCAGGTTGTTAGTGTTGTGTAAAAAGTCTGCAACAAGATACCTAAAAGGTACTAGTATTTTCCTATATGATACTACTATCACTCAATGTTATAATATTTAGTCAGATAATAATAACATGTTAGCTAACTCAATCTTAACCCACCCAGTGTTCAGTAATTTTGCTGCCAAAGTTCTGACGGTTCATGTGAAAATCAGATGGCGCCTTGTAATCTGTTTCCTTTTCTCCATCATTGTGGATTAGATGAAAAGAAGGGAATAAACTGAACAGGAAGAAGCCAGAGTGTTCATGAAGTACAAAGCTGAAGTTGGGAGAAACTCCCTCAGAGCAGAGATAGAAGCTGGTAACAGAGGCAAAGGTTTCACATAAAAAATGTGGTTTCTGTGGCTATCTGCCCATAAATAAAAGCGGTACTATATATGATTTTGTAATACAACTACACATTTATTTTTTATTTTTACAACCTAAAGAAACTGCAAACAATTTATTGATTTCAAAGACAAGTGGAACAGATTCCTTTGGGTAGAGGGGTGGAGTTGGGCTTGTCTTTTTGTACTATGTTCTGTCCGGCAGTAAAGCTATCTGAATTACCTGAGTGCCAAAAAACAAGCCTTCCACAAGAGGAGCAAATCCACCTGAAAACTTTACAAAATTTGCTTTGCTTTATTTTAAACCCAATGGACACTGAGACAGAAAAAAAGGGAAAGTAGAAAAAGAAAGGAAGAGATGAGGAGAAAGCTAACAGAAAGAACCTGCAGACCTGCAGAAGGACAAAATAACACAATAATTCAGACAACAATCATCTCTGATCATTCCTTTTTTTATGTTGCCATGGCAAATGCTTTGATCTAATACAAATCTGACGGTGAAGTGCTGAACTAAGCAGCAGCACCTTGACAGACTTCAAGCTGTACCTGTCTGAGGAGCTGTTGGATAGTCTTTCTTTGGTTGACGGCAGTGAAAAAGTGAAGAGTTTTAGCCACCAACTTAAACAAGACTCCACCAACCAGAGCAGTGTGTAGACAAGGAGCCAACATGCCAGAGATGATGGACTCCATCCATGCTGAAAGATGCAGGAGTGAGGTGATGCAGATGTGTACAAAACATAAGAGGATTCTCGAAGTCACCAAAAAGAAAACATGGTTCCAAGGTTGAAGTGAACATGATTTTACAGGAAATATTTTGAAAAAATATTATTGTAAAGTCTTCTTTTAGGCCTAAATGGATAGAAAATCACACACACACACACACACACACACACACAAACACGCACGCACGCACGCACGCACACACACACACACACACACACACACACACACACACACACACACACACACACACACACACACACACACACACACACACACACACACACACACACACACACACACAGTTTATGTACGATTACAGCTGTTGTTGTACCTAACCCTTACAGCCTCCTTTTCTCCTCCGTCATCACCTCATGAATACGAGCTCACTGGATGAAAGGAGAGGAGCTAACCGAGGGACAAAGAGAGAAAGCAAGGCTAGGAAAGGAGGGAGGGTGAGCTCATGTCGTCAGTGGCCCAGCAGCGCGCAGACTCTGTTGGAGGAGAGCTGGCTGCCTATTGAAAACAACGGGCTGTGACAGCGAGGAGAAGGGTGTTGGTGGGCTAATGGATAAATAAAGGGATACAAGTCTTTTACCACGCTGACATTTTTACCTCCGTTTTCTTTCTTACTTTGTCACCCTGGAAAGAATGTAATTGCTACTGTTTCTACTATTTTTTCTACAAGGAAAGCAGTCCCTCTTAGCTCTAGATCTTCTGTACACTGATCGAGAATCAGCCACAGCTCCATACCATCAGGTAATTTACATTTTCACTGAATGCATTCATCCTTCCTTCTACCCTGACCTCTATGTGCATCATCCGACATCATCACTGTCTTGTAACCGTGGTTTCCTCCCTCCCTCTTAGCTGCTCCTCTCCCTCCCCCACCGGGGGGCCAATGGCCTTCACTGGCTTTGTTTTTTGTCTGCTTTGTGCCTCTAGCTAGGAACCACAGCATCTGTGCTCATGTGAGAAAAAGCACACATTGTTTTATTTGGCCGGTGATTCAAGTCTGACCATGAATCATTTCTGCTTTGGCCCTTAACGGCTGACCCATGAGTACATTTTGTGTTGCTACCCTATGTTAAATTCCTAGAATTTTTTTGACAAATACTGTTTTTATTTTGAAATTTTGCCAAAGGTGAAACACATTTGTTAAAAGTAGATATTTAATGTATTTTAATGTAAACAAATCAGGCGAAATAGCATTTGCATTGAAACAACAGCTCTGTGTGTTTGATGTGGAACAAAAAAATTAATAATTAGGCTTTATTACATCAGATCTGCTGACTTCCTTTTCCATACCTGCAGCCTAATGGAGCAGGAAGAGACACCTGAGACTAACACCTCTAGGACTTTCATACCAGCAGCTGTGTATTTTTCATTGTGACTTTCATATCACTTTGATGCAAAGCACCTTGTGATTCTGCTCTAATAGATGCTCTACGAATAAACCTATTTTACTTTAAGAACACTTTTATTTTCTCTAATGTAAATAATTTCTGCTGCTTGTAGAAATTCCTCTTGACCCTCCAAGCTGAGCAGTAAATGCAAAATCCAGACCATTTCTAAAAAGTGCTACACATGTCACACAGATCCCTTTACCTGTACACACACACACACACACACACACACACACACACACACACACACACACACACACACACACACACACACACCCTTCAGTATGTTTGAACTATCTACCTACAAATACAAATAGGCTCTTATGTCATCTAACATATCTCCTTTTATATATATGTGATCTCACCAATCTTATACTGATCAATGTTTAAATTGTGCAATGTTTTATTTTCCTTCATTTTTTCACGCAAGCCGTTCCACAAAGTCCCCCCGCAAACTGATACATGTTTGTGCTAAAAGCTGCTTTGAGTTGTATTTCCCTCCCAGTTTGTACCTTCTCTCTCTAATCCGAAATACATCACCAAAAATCATGTGTATCATTAGGGGAAGCCTCCAACTGGCAGATAATAGAATGAGCCTACTGAGCCTTACTGCATGCACAATTCGTTGGCCCCATCCCGATTCTCTCACTTTCACACTTACGCCCTTCAATTGTGCAATCTCAACCAGGGGTGCAAATGCATAGGGTGCACCAATGTTTAAGTGTGTAAGTTGATCATGCCCCTTTTGCACCCTTGGTCCGCACTTCACTTCATTGTGGTATTACCCACAATCCATTGCTGCGGGTGAAAATGCTTAAGTTCCTTTTCAGAAAAGAAGTAGTTTCTAATGAAAATAGTTCATTTTAGGATAATTAATTGATTCTCTGAAACTTTTAGACAAAGCAACAATGAATGCAAATTTATTTCAAACCAGCAGCATGCGTTGCTGTCGATGACGCGATGCTGTCTGTCTCAGTTCGGCAGTTATTTGTAAACTTTTGTACCACGCACTTGAGGCCTTCCTGGGCACATTCACAGACCATTTTGCTGCCATGTGCCTGCCGTTAGAGCGGTGTGTGTGTGTGTGTATGGGTGGGGGTGGGGGGTGGTGTGGTTTGTAGTCGTGGTACTAGAACTTTAGCCGTGGTGCAGTGCCACACCTGAGCCTATGCAGGGGAAACACTGAGAGTGTAAAGTGTGCAGTGTTTCACTGGTAAAGATGTGCCTTCTTTTTCCCAGAATCCCTGTGGTTTGGGCCATCCTCGTAAATAGTAAACAGCCTGTATTTATATAGTGCACTCAAGAATCATAAAACCCCTCAACGCACTTTACAATGCAACCATCATTCACCGCTTCACACACTTGTGGTAATAAGCCACATAGTAGCCACACACTGACAGAGGCAAGGCTGCTGTACACGGGCGCCGCTGGTCCCTCAGTTTACCACAAGCAAGCGAGGAGGGTGAAGAGTCTTGGCCAAGGATACAACTGCGACAGGCTGAAAGGGGCTTAGTCCTGCAACCCTCTGGTTACGAAGCGGGTATGGAAGTATAACAGTTTGACCAGAATATGCATTTTCTTATATGTAGAATTTTTGACACTGAAAACTTATTCCTTGAATTAATGTATTAGAATTTTTTTACTCTAAATACACCAGCAAAAATTTTATCTGCCATTATGTAAAAGAAGTTAATTTACATCTAATTAAGGACCCGTGAGACATTAAGATTCCATATCGAGTATGAAATCAATCTTACGGACCACTGAGTTATTTAACCAGAAGATTGGAACTTTTTATTGCAGGGATTTTGTAACACTTTGTATTAACTGAGAGACAAGGGAAGAATCAGACCTTTAAAATGTTTAAGATGATTTATTTCTAAACAATTTAAGCAGTTTTAAACGAGACTGACTCTAACTCTAATAGTGGATGGATCTGGTGTAAATGAGACTTGAGATGGGTGGTGTGTGTGAGTGGTGTTATTATCAGAACTCTCACATCCGGAGAAGCAAGTCTGAATGATGTAATGATGTTTTGCTCCTAGCTACAATCAGAGTTTGATCAGAGTTTCATAAACACATGAGACACCATATTGCCGCTCCACACATACCCTTGATGAGACACCCGTACAGATCCAGAATGCCAGGTCCTCGGACCCTTGTTTCGGTACTGGAGCCAGTGGTACAGCGTCAACAGTACGACAAACTAGTCCCCGCATCGTCTCCAGGTAAAAAGCGACAGTTGGTTGACAGCGTCAAAAGGGACCCTCCTTGGGTCAGTGAGTTCAGCTTTTATTCTGAAAAGAACTGTTGCTTGGTTGGTAAAATGCAACAGATTTTATCCAGCTTGTTGGTTCTCAGCTTAAAAAGGGAAGTCCGGATGGCCGGTCCGATACTCCGCTTAGCATGAGGTGATCTCCAGTGAGATCTTGTGAACTGACATAAGATGGCGTTGGACTGTTTAAATTAATCTGGATGTTTTGATTTCTGGTCGAATCAAAGCAGGCAGATTTATAAACACCACAGAGACTATGCCACGCTTCAGAAAGGAAGGTTCTGATTGGATCAGTAACAGCAATGTGTCCTGCGTTTACATTACGTGTATCAGTGTGTCTAGTGAACTAGATTAAAGTAATTTACTTATTAAAGCATATTAATCATAACATTGTTATTCCACAGATCGGTCAACATTATATTATTGACTAACACTTGTTTTGATTAGCTTTAATAAAAATAGAGTTCTTTGATTTAATAAAAGAAAAGAGTCCTTTATCTTCATTCTTCTCTTGCTGGAAAGTCAACAGTTTTAGAAGCAAATGCATGACCTTGAGGCAGTCTCATGCACTCGAGCACTGTGTCAGAGGCATTTGTGGAGAGAGGTTAAATAACCTTGGAGGAATAGCCCCTTCATCACGTTACATACCCCCCTTTTCAAGGGCACGGTGGTCCGTCCGGAGACCACCTGACATTGAACAAACCAGAGTCTTGAAGGACTCCGACGGCAGAGCAGGGTGCAATTCCCCAGGAAGAGGCCAACAGTTGTGAGGTACGAACCCCACACCAAAGAACAGTCTTGCATACTCCTTGGGAAGCACACAAGTCAGTAGATTATCACGATATCCCAGTGGAAGTAATAATTTGAAGCAGGAGCAAAACTTTATATATCCACGGGTCGGGAATACTACCAAAACAGTGTATTGATCTTTATAATTGCACTTATCGTAATCCAGCACAGGAAAGAGCAGCAGGTAGGTCGTCCCAGCGAGCGAAGTATCCCAGCAGTCATGCCGGAACAAACGGATGTCTAGGTCCCACGAGCCAGAGCACCAATCAGGAGGAGTAGAATCCGATGACGAGTCACAGGTCCACCCCCAGGAAGCAGGATCATTCAGGGCACTTCAATGTAGACACAACAAAATGGCGTCTAATGCAAATCAACAAACAAAAAGAAACCTAGCACTATGAGTACCTGCATGTACTATGTGTAGGAATTATGTGAATTAGCATTAAACGAAGAAATGGGTGCAATACACTATGTGTAACGCAAAAAGTGTTGCCAAAAGAACAAAATTAAGAAAACCCTATACTGCGTTGGAGAAATCACTGCACTAAGTAAAAATGTAATCAAAATGAAGGGCAAAATGGTTTTAGCCCGTGATGGTAAATTAACAAAGTTAATCATAAAGTTTTCAACTTTATCACTGTGACAACGTTCTAGAAAAATATAGATATATGAGTGTCAAAGCGCACTAAAAATGTAAATCAGTGAAGTTAGTAATCAACCTACATGTGAATGTTCCCATAAGGAATTAAGATAAGTGAAAATAAAAACAATTTGGATAACAGTAAAATGTGGACTAAATCCATCTACTGTCAACTAACTGATTACCTGACTTCAGGAACCCACAGCATGTTCATCTCAAATCACCCAAGTCTGCACGTCATGTATAAACAGGAAAGACAACCATGCACACACACAAACATAGACAACGTGTTTAACTCGAGATAAATAACTATGGAGCCGACGATTCTGGCAATAGAAATCGCTCCACCTTCGACGTTCTAGCTGAAGGCACAGGAGGTGCAGGTGGAGGAGGTGGAGGAGGAAGAGGTGCAGGACCGGCCGGCTCAGGCGGAGGTACCTGGGCAGCCAGTGCTTCACGAACCGGTGCAATGGCTCGAGTTAGGCGCCCCCCGACATTGCGGACCGAGTCCCCTAGAAAGGTCAACTGTGCGTAGAAGTGACGGAACAGGAAAAATGACAAACCCCACGACAGGCAGAGGTTTAAGCATGCAGTGAATATCACGACAGAATCAGCGGAGGACTAGGAGTAATGCCCTGTTGATATTCTG